GTATTTTTAATTTACTGCTAAACTTTATATGTATATTCATTGTATGAAATGAATTATACTCTACACTTAACAGGATTTTATATAATTATTTGAGATTTTTCTAACGGCGATAACGAGTTGGCAAGATTGCAAAAATACGTATTAAAATTAAATACATCAGGCAGTTTATCTCGTAATTTTAGGTCACAGATCGCCCTGGACCAAATAGTAATGTTTTTTTTTTGACGTAAGAAAAAGCAACCGCGAGTTACGTTGAACACATTAAATTAATATATAAAGATATTTTAGAATCTCGTAGTTGTCATGTATTGAATATTTTATGTAACAGAATGATCGTTATACGCTGAAAAGACGGCTCTTTTAACGAGCGCGAAATCGCGGTGGGTGTTACAGGCGGCAATGGGAATTTCCGATTTCGAAAATCCTGGCTGCGCGCTGGCAGTGGTGGTTATCTATTCTCTACTAATTTATTTCTAATTCCAAACACAACAGTATGTTACACATAATAACAATATACTGGTAGGTAGTAGAATACCTCAGGCTTAAATATTAGAATTTATAAAGGCATAATGGATTTTTGATTGTTGTTGCCCCTATTGCCAATAAATTTTATTACTCTCAGAAAATATACACAATTATCTGAATACAAGTAGTATTTTTGTCGATAGACTTGACTATTATCGTAATATCATGGTACCAATGATAGAAAGCGTCAGACAACTCCTTGGCTAGCTTTTCATATGGTCATTTGTACAAAGTGAATAATGTTAATAAACTGACTGTGTCACAAGTTGCTATCATTTTTTATTGATAGCTATAAACTATCAATTACTTTGTGTACATATACTGTTGGTTTGTGGCTTCATTCTGTTATTTCTATTGAAGCTTATTTCCTAATTTACTGGGTTTTAATTAATTAAAACAAAAATGTGTTATTTTCGATTTTAGAATGTATTCGGAATTCCAGATTCGAAAACATTATTTTAGAATGTATTCGGAATAGTTTAGTATTCGGAAATGGCCATCCCTGGTTACAAATAACAGATCGTAAGGCGAAAGTATGTTTTATTCAAAAAAACACGGTAAAAATATGTGAATGTAACAGAAATATCCAAAATAAAAAAGACGGGCAAGATCAAATCAAATATTTTTATTGGTAATAAGCTTCACGCCCCCTCAGAAAAATAGTTTACACCACCGTTTGAAAACCACCGCTTCAGACTATCTTCAGGTATTTTGTCAGTTCATATATAGTATATTATTTAGGCACAGTGTCAAAGAAACTTGTTTTGGTACATGGCCCCCCGATTAAGGACCATTTTGTTGATTTTAACTTTATTCATATTGTAACCAAGCCACCCTGTTGTATACGATATTATAAATTACAAATAATAGTGGAATAGTTTCATTTCACAAATAATCTTTTCTTATCATCAGATGTCTGGGAGGCAGATGGAAATTTTTAGAACTTATTTTCTGACTGTTTTTCTGTCATGCTATAATTAAAAATTACCGTATTTCCCGGTGAATAAGTCGCTTTTCTAGACCCAAATTTTTGGCATGATTTTGAGGGGGTCGTCTTATTAGGCGAGTATGATAATTTTCATTTTTTTGGTGTTGCCTTATTATGTATTAGGTAATGTTTTTTTAGGGTGGACGCAATCGCGAGTTGAACACAAGTAGATTTAAATTTAGGCAGTTTGGATTCCCGTAGTTATTATGGATTGAATATTTCGCTACAAGAAAACGTCATTATAGGCACTTATTGGCAGGTTATATGAAAAAACCCATTTTTTCAGGCTTGAAAACGGGCTTCGTCTTATTGACCGGGTAGACTTATTTGCGGGGAAATACGGTAATCAAAACTATGTTCATCTTTACTATACTGAATTCACCTAATTTATATTACATGATTCACTTCCAAATAATTCGCTAGAATTTCTCTGTTAAATATGACCCAGTTTAGAAAATACTCAATTTTCACTAATATTATTCAAAAAGCATTTAGAATAACTGTAGTGCAGCGGTTCCCAAACTTTTTGTTTGTGTGGGCTGAATTATTATGTGGCGCACTTACACAAAAAAATTGCTTATTTTGAATGTGATCATTTATAACAGGTACTTTATTTTATGCCTTTGTTCGTTAACTTTGTAAACATGTAGGCCTAAAAGATAAAAGCAAAAATCAATCCATTTTCCTCATCTCTGCCTTATTTTTTTCAAAATACTGAAAAATTACTCATATCCCTGAACTCTGTTCAGAACATAAATAATTTGGCACAGCAAGTAGTGTCTCTCTATTTTTACCTTTGTCGCGGCGCACCCTTTTGGAGCTGCTGCTGTAGTGAATAAGTCAGTTCTGGCAATCTTTGGTTAAAATATTGTGATAGCATATAATCCAGGTCAGGGTTGTGCAACATATACAATTTTAGATATCTGCTGGGCCACACAAAAAATTTAGCGGAAGGGTGTGAGAAGAAAATGTGGCTATTGGCCTATTGCTTAGCCCAGGGGTGGCCAACCTTTCACATACCATGCGCCACGTTTTAAACATAATGTTTCAGATGCGCCGTAAATCTCTTGTATACCCACGCCTAATGTCCTCTTCTTGTTGAAATTATATAAATTTATAATACACACACATATATACACACGTACGTTACGCAATAAAGCTGTTTTTAACAACGAAGAGAAAAAGGTACGATTAAGGAGTATAGTTAGGCGTAATATTGTGACAACAGGCCAAGATGGCGCACAACCTGAAAATAGTATGTGTGTGTGTAGCGGATTCAGGTTGTGCGACATATTGCTGCACATACTTCTGGAGCACCAAAAAGGTAGATAAACTTTCGCATGATGACCTATAATCCGGTACATAACCTTGTAAATATACCGGAAATAGCGCCATAAAACCATGGACAGAGGCGCCGTGGTTCTTTCGTGGCAGGAGGTGGTAATGACTGGGTCTCCTGTTTTGCGCTGTTGCCCTCTGTTTTGCGCTGGTTTTCTTCTGTTTCGCGATATTTTGCGCTGTTTCGCGCGGTTTTGCGGTGTTTCGCGCTGTATTCAGTAAGTAGTAAGACCCGGCCTTTAGTATCAATATCTACTCTACCCTCGATTCTAATTGGCCTTTGCTAATCAGCTGTTTGGCCTAGCGTCGCGTGATTTTACTCCAGGCTTCTTCGAGATTAGTACTTGCGTCACAGCAAGCGGTTTTACGCTTCGCTTTTGTTGACAACGGTCATTTGAAGTTTGGAATGTAATATGTGTACTAGGTTAGGGTTAGGCCATAATTTTAGGTATAAATACTACGGGAGGCTCTTGGCTAGTCTTCGAACTGATAATAGGACTAAAATAAGAAAAATTGGAAAAAAATTATCGCCTAACCCTAACCTGTTACCCATGTTACGTCCCGATGTCCGCCATCTTGGTTCACATCATTCGGGAGCACCGACGAATTTTTTTTTTCCAGAATTTCTAAACTTTTTACTCCAGTAGGGAAAAAATAGTGAATTTTACTAATTTTAGCTAAAAGTCTAGATTGAATGTCATAAAGTCCGTCCAAAAGCTAACGTTGATAATCGCCTGTTGTTTCTAATTCCAACAAGCCGTAAGTGGGCGACGTGGAGTAAGGAGAATAGATTTTAGGTACAATCAAAAGTCACCATGTAAATCGCAAAAAAACAGCTTGGCGTGGAGAAGCCAAGTGCAATTAACAATTTTGGCATGAAAAGGGTTAAAGATGCAATGCGCCACCTCTAATCATGCAATGCGCCACGTTTGGCGCATGCGCCATAGGTTGGCCACCCCTGGCTTAGCCTAACAGTAATAAAAGCACAGGGTAAGATGGTGGAAGATTTAGCGCAGCGACAAAAGCAACAAAAAAATGATTTTTTACCCATGTGTGTGCTTTTTTAATCTTCAACTGTCTTATTACGATTTAATGATCTATAGCAGGGGTGTGCAACCTTTTTTACAGGAGGGCCATTTACAAGTAACTGGGTGAAGCTGCGGGCCGCACATAGAAAATCTACATATGAAAGTCTCTTGGATACGAAAAATCTAACTTACTAAAAATATTGCTTCGGCTAACGTAAGATTTTCTACATATACAAAGGGAAGAGAACCGAAAACCTGAAAAACTCGTATAGTGGTATTTGTTTATTTAAGCAAATTTAATGCAGTGCTCGAAGAAGGGATGTCAAATTCGAAGTTAATATTTGAATGCAGCGACCTTCAAATATCGTTTTTCGTGTTTGGCACACTTATCCTAGCGCCGCGTCCACGTTTTGATTTAACACATTTCACAATTATTTCATTTTCACGCGGCAATAAATTACCTGCCATCCCATTAGCCCGTTTGTTTCCCGCGAGAACGAACAATGTGTTGCTACTTGCTAGCGAAATTCAGTAAGAAGACGATGATACGCGTAACAGTTTAAAACGAGATAAAAAAAAAGAATGGCTTGATGGATGGGGGTTGTGACCCGTGGGCCACCTGTTGCACATCCCTGCTTTATGCCAAACACATCGCACAGTATATATTAAAATTAGGTGCCGAATTGGAAAGATTCTGATCATACTAAAATGCAGTGCTTCCTACATATTAGTGGCTGTTCTTCCAGAACTGACATGGTCTGCGGAATAAATCCGGCCCGTTGGGTAATTCAATCCGGCCCGTTTAATGCTGTCACAACGAAACTAAAACCATATTTTTGATGTTTTAGCTGAAAAATAGCTCGAGGAGTTTGTTAAGATTTTGATTACCGTAAATTTATCTCAGACACGAGGATCATTTTCCACTTTTGCTATTCTGACACTGAAAATATTGTTCATAAAATGTAACTTTAAATAACTTTCAAATTCTTGTTCCCATGGTCAAAAAACCTTGCTCATGCCTGGTCTAAAACCTTGCTCACAAAAGAATAAGTAAAAGTAAGCTGTACCTGTATTAATATCTATTATCTTACTGATCTTTATCTGTATTAATTTGTAGGTTTATTATTAGGTATATAGTTTTGAAATTAATTGATTCAATAGAAACATGACTGAAAGATCAAGTATACTGAATATGATGGATGGGACTGAGGAGGCTGACACAGTTTTTTTGGGACAAATGGCTGAGAGTCTTGGAAGTACAGATGACCTGAAGTATCGGAAATACTCTGGTAAATCACAACATGTCAAATCAAACTCAAAATCTCACCCAGAACTGCCACAACAAAATATTTTTATGCTACAAACGAAGTATGGTATTGATGAATCACTGTCAACACTAGAAGGCAGTATTGAGAAGCATTCTTTGGTCAAGAACAGTGAAACATTGAATCAAACTTTGGAAGACAGACCTGTTGAAATGTATGTTGATGAAGCTCAGCTACCAGTAAAAGACAGCTCTGAGAATTCTGCTTCTGGCAGCAACTCAGCAACTAATATTCAAAATAACAAGTTTGAGAAACTGGGGATGAAAAACCAAACCCAGTTTCGAAGTGATCCCACTGAGATTTATTCTGAAGAATCAATGATACCAGCAGATGGAAGTACTGAGGATAGCGCTTCGTACAATGACAAAAGAGGTAAATTTCAATCTAACGAGAATGATGGGATAAGTAGAAAAAGCAAGACTCAAGGCATACCCGTTGAAATGCAGGTTGAAGAATCAACACTGTCAGTAGAGGGCAGTACTGAGAATTATTCTTCAGTCAATGATCCAATAACTACATTTGATAATGATCGCAAAACTCAATTTTTAGAAAGCGCATGCATTGGTTCGCATGCTGATAATACAGTGCCTGCAAATAGCAGGTCTGGGTATAATGGAGTAGAAATCATAAACACAAATGAACTACAGACTTCAAGTGATAGAGAAATCGAATGCCTTGCTTGTGGACAACAATTTCTAACTCTACGAAATCTACAATTGCATATGCTCATGCATATAAGCTTGAGCTCATCTTTTTGCAAATTATGCGAGCAGCGATTGTTACAAAAAGGTCAAAAAATAGATACAGTCAACAAAAATGTAAGGACCTGCAGGGTATGCCAGAAACCTGTTGAAATAAAGCCTGCTGGAAAAAGACCATCAAGCAGAAATAGTATTTCATGTTCTCAGTGTGGAAAAACATTTTTGTCAGAGCGTGCACTTCTGGTTCATACCAGAATGCACACTGGTGAAAAACCATACAATTGTGCTCATTGTGGTGAATCATTTTCTTACAAAGGCTCTTTGGAGCGACATTTGTCGATACATAAAGTGCTATCAGTTTATTCTTGCAAATTTTGCTTGAAACGTTTTAAAAAAGAGCTGTACCTAACTCGTCATGTTATAATATTACATAGTAAAACAAAACCTTACACTTGTACATCTTGTGGAAAAGGATTCCGTACTGCTAAAAGCTTAAAAGTTCACCGTGCTGCACATATTGGCAGACCACCTTATTGCCATTTATATGAAAAGTCAGTCCATCAAAGTTCATCCTCACAATATCATAAAAGGTTATATGAAAATGAAAGGCCTTATACGTGTGATATATGTGGCAAGAAATTCTTTTGGATTGGAGGATTACTAAATCACTTAGAATGGAGACATAGTGGTCAGAATATATATATTTGTAATTGTTGTGGTAAGACTTTCGAAATTGTTCAGCGTCTTAGACAGCATCAAATTACTACACATTCAAAGGCGTTTTTCTGTAAATTTTGTGGAAAATCATTCAAGCATAAAGTTTACTTCGATCAACATAAATTAATTCATCGTAAAGAAAAGCCATATTTATGTGAACTATGTGGAAAAGAATTCATAACAAAGACACTTGCAAAACGGCACATGCGGAGACATGCAGACCCTAAAGTACTTCATTGCAATGAATGCTGGAAAGTCTTCAGTACTTCGGAGACACTGGAGATTCATAGAGCCAAACATATAGGCATATATGCTATTGCTGATTGTGCATCAAAAATTAAGAAAGAATCTATCCAGACTTTACATCTGAGGGTGCCTGATAAACTATATACTTGTGAAAGATGCGGGGAAGTGTTTGAGCATGAAGATCACTTGGTTCAGCATAAAATAGATGATCATAACGAAAGGCGGCGATTCTCGTGTAGTCTTTGCAAGAAAACATTCAGAAGGTCTGATTACCTCAAAGCTCATTTTTGTCCTGCTTTGCCAAAAGTTCTCCCATATTTTTGTGATATTTGTGTCAAAGAGTTTCGTAGTGAGAAAGCTCTGAAAAATCATAATATGCAACATACTGGAGAAAAACCATACAAGTGCAAAAGGTGTAATTATGATTTTCCTGCCAAAACTGAGCTAAATGAACATGTGAGGGCAGAGCATGATGGGAAACTTTATGTTTGCGAATATTGTCAAAAAGATTTTGTTAGCAAAGGTAATTTAAAAATACACATGAAGTCACATACAAGGGAAAAACCATTCACATGCGAAGTGTGTAACAAAGGATTTCTTCGTGATGTGACTTTGAAAACACATATGAGACTACACACTGGGGAGAAACCTTTCTCATGTGATATATGTGGCAAGCGGTTTCGACAAGGTTCATATGTGAAAGATCACATGAGAATACACACAGGGGAAAAACCATATCAGTGTGATGTATGTGGAAAAGCCACCAGCACAAAGAGCACATTAAAAGCACACATGATGATTCATACATCACCAGAAAAGCTCTTTGCATGTGGACAATGTGAAATGAAGTTTGGAAATAAACATGCACTGAAAGCACATGTGCGCAAACATACCGGAGAAAAACCATTTTGTTGTGACATATGCGGGAAGGGTTTTGCATGGAAAGGTGGTCTTATGACTCACCAGAGAACACACACAGGTGAAAAACCATTTGTGTGTGATTTTTGTGGTAGGGGGTTTACCACCAAAGGAGGTATGGTTCAGCACAGAAGAATCCATACTGGTGAAAGACCGTTTTCATGTGAAGAATGTGGGAAAACATTCAGACAACAAGTCACATTGAAAACCCACTTACGCACTCAACATTATGAAAAACAGACATTTACAAAAGAATCAATGCATTTCCCGACGCCCTCTTTTCTTTGAATTGATTAATGAAACTTAATATATTATTAAAGGAATGAATGAAATGGTAGTGCTTAAACAACGAAAACATTTTTGTGAAATGCCTTTGTGTCAAATTAGCTATTTTCCTTTAGACGAGCAAAATGGAATAATGGTGTAGGTAAAAATCTGAGCTTATGATCATTTATTCTATTGCATTTTCTATGTTTATCTGGAAAGAAGTTAAAGCTTGTTGATTTTGTTGTTTTTGCTTAACAAATTTTTCGTCATCCCATAATATAACTCGATGTGCAACAGCGTAACCAATGATAAACATAAGAACAACTTGTAAAACATATACTCAATGGCCTTTTAGGGATCAGCTTATTCATGTGAACAATTTCGTTATCACAGATAAGTGTGTTTGGTCAGTCCAGTGGTTCACCTGCACTTTATAGCACACTCAAGATCTGGATAGCTTATACCGAATAATTTACCTTTTCATATAAATATTTAATATATTCTAAATTAGGTTAACAGGAAAATTTGGATTCATTGTTAATTTGAAGAGAATTGAAATTGGTGGGAATTGAATAGGTAGAAAGAAGTTGTTGGTGCTAATTGGAATTTGAAGAAGAATTGTTTTAACTGGGTGTGAAATGTCACTTCTTAAAATGGCAATTCTGAAAATGAAAAATCTTCTAATAGTTCCTAAAATCTGAAATTTATTTTACCATATACCCAATTTGTTTTGATTATCTGTGTCCAGGGCGTAATGGACTGGCCATCTGGATTTGGATGAAAGAGATAAAAATAAGGGTTGTTTCATGAATATAACTGTTTAATGTAGAGTTTTTTTCAGAGTAGAGTTTTTTTGTTTAAATTTCAAATCATATATCTGTGTTTATGTGTTTTACCAATTATTAGATGATCTCCTCATGTTTTACGACTGAAATTTTTTATTTTGCTGTTGAACTTTGTATAACATTGAAGTTTGAAATCTGTACCACATTTTGAATTTATTTTAATTGGAAGTATACTCAAAAAATCACGAAATTTTTTTTAAATCTTCCAAGGTTTTTTATAACTTTTTTTTCACTCCTATTGTCCACATTTTTTTGATTGTTGGAATTCAAATATTTTTCCATCTCTAATCCAATACTATTTGCACTATCGATATGGAATCGACTTAGTCAGTGGTTCCCAACCTTTTTCCAATCAACCCAAATTTTTAAATAAATAAATTTTTAAAATCTCGCGACCCAAGGATATGCTCAGATACTAACAGGTATGTAATGCTCATGCCTCATATGGTCACAAAATTAAATGCCTGTCCAATACCAGCATAACCCTCTCAAGTTTTTATGTTGTGGTACTTCCCACAAATGCAATTACAATTGAGTAACACTTCAGTACAAATATAAAATAAGCAATAAAATTTACTAGAATCTACCAATAAAAATACTACTGTGATGACAAAACTCTCTGGGAGGGGGCCACAAGCCATAAAAGGTCGGGAACCACTGTACTATAGTTTGTTAATTTTATGCTTCGTCTGACTATGTTTTGTTAATACTTTACAATATTTGTCTTTAGTTTTGTTTAATACAGTGGTTCTAAAATGGTGGACACTCCTCAAAAAGGGAGCATAGAAAATTTTAGATGTTGTGTGAAGATTGTTAGATTTGATCTTGCTTGCCTTATTTTGGATATTTACGTTTATTTATTTTGGAAAATTATGTTCCATCCACGTATTCTTGAATAAAACCTATCTGTTATTTGTAACTCATCGTTAGCTAGTTATTTTTATGATGGGGCGCGAAACTTGACAAAGTCTTAAAAATGGGGGCACAACTTGAAAAATTTCAAAAATCAATGGTTATTACTTGTCAATACTAACTGAGAATGACATATTTTACTTTGGGAAAAATTTTGCCTAAAATTGGGAATTCAATTATTTTTGATCTTAAGTGATTTTTAAAATAATATAAATCAGTTTATCAATCTGAGTTTGCTACAAAGCTCAATAAACATGTGAAAATGCTCATCTGTAATCATCATGTTTTGTAGTTGAAGCCTTTTTCCCAAGCCAACATAATTATGCCATGAATTCCACTTTGTATACTTACTCCAATTATTCCTAATGTATAAATGATCTTATCATTACTCAGTGCATAACGCGAAAAGGCTTTTACTCTCTAGGGCAGTGGTTCTCAAACTTTTTAAGCTGTGCCTTCTTTTTAGAATTCCTCAGGTCTCGCGCCCCACCTAAAAAATAACTAGCGAAAGTATGTGAAAATATAGGTACATAATAAAGGAACGTAAACAATAGAGAAATGTGAATATCTAAAATAAGGCGAGCAAGATATAATATAACAAATAATTTTTTTTTTAACTTCACACCGCTCATTGTGTATGCCTGTCCCCTCCTTGTGGAGCATGCCCCACCGTTTAAGAACCACTGCTCTAGGCAATTGTTCAGTCCTTTCAAATAAAGTAACGCCTAACATATCGGGGGACATCAGTGGCAGCTTGTAAAGAGTGTTGTTCGGAACGCAATACAAACTGTATAAGAAAATTGTGCATCAATTTTTATATCTAATCCCAAAACATACAATAAATCTTCTACTTCAGTGGTTCTCAAACTTTTCAAGTCGCGACCACTTTTAAGAATTCATCACTCTCGGCCCACCTAAAAAAACAGCTAACAATAAGCTACAAATACCAGATAGTAAGGCGAAAGTATGTTTTATTCAAAAATCATTTGTACATAATAAAGAAATGTAAATATCCAAAAAAGGGCAGGGTCAAATCTAACAAATATATTTATTTTTAATTAGCTTCACGCCCCTCAAAATTGTCCTGACCTCCCATGTGGGCCGCGTCCCACTGTTTGACGTCCCACTATCCTACTTTGATTGCTCGCTCTGACTATTTGCCTAAAGATCTTATATCATTTTTTTGTATTATGTCGAGAGGAACAATTTTGATTTTTTTTCATCCAATTTATTGAATATTATGTCAATGTTTCAGTTACATTTCTAATATGAATTTTGTTTCAGATTTATTTACTTATTAATGGTATAAATAGATTAGTTAAAATGAAATAGAAAAATAGTTTTTCATTCTGTATACACACGGCAGAGGAATTACATGAACTCTTATGAAATATAGAGATGGGAAAAAAAGATAACTTACTATTTTGAATACTTTTCTGAAATAATAGTTCAGAACAGTGGTTTGTATTTTTTATGGCTCTCACTTCTTTCCGCAGGCTTTTAGCACTCATGGCCCCCCATGTTCACCATAGTAAAAAATAGATGACTATTATGGGCTACTATCTAGAGCAGTTGTTCCTAACCTTCCATTTACCGTGGCCTCCTACGGGAAGCTTTTAGCACCCATGGTTCCCTGTTTATCATTCCAGTGGTATTTATAGTGTTATTCTGATTGGTAGATTCCAAATACCAAACAATAAAACTACGAAGAACGGGATTTCGTGAATTGAAAAGTTAAATCAGTTTTGCGCTTAGCATTTTGGCATCCCTCCAATTAGGGCCTCTGATTGGTAACCGCTGGTCTAAAGAGCCTATCATGTATTTGCTATATTTATGGGATATAATAAAAAATCTAAATTGTTGATGCCCCACCCATCACAAGAGTATTCAGGTAATGAAACTACAGAAGACAAGGCATTTTGTTTCAAAGAAAAAAGTATGCAAATGATATATTACTAAAATAAATGTACCATGTAGTATTGCAGGCTTGCAAATACCCCCCATGACTGCTCTGTGGCCCTATTAAGGGCCATTGGCTTTCGGTTGCTAACCACTGGTTTAGAATATATTATTAAACAACAATTAACACATAGCAGCAAATGTATATTGAATGAGTTTCAATTTGGGAAATGAAAGAAAAGGCGATTTGCTCGGTTGGTTCCTGTTTTTGAATGGAGGCCTAAGGTCTTACTTTTAAAATGCGACTTTTCGAAATGATCAATTTTTAAGGGAAACTCAGACTGAAAACGTAATATAATACTAAAGGCACTCCAGAAGTATGTGTATCAATATGGAGGTAACTACCTTAATTTTTTTGCCTATTTTACATCAAGTTGTGTGAAGGGACTGAAACCTATGGGCAGGGGGTATAGTCCCCGAACTTGTAATAGAACTAATATAAGGAAATCAGAATAAAATTATGGCCCAACCCTGACCTGGTAAACATACTACGGGAGTACCATATTAAAGAAGTAAATGAAATGGAAGTACTCGAAACAATGAAAACATGTTTTGTGAACTGCTTTCGTAGCAATTTAGCAGTTTTCTTTGTAAACTAACAAATTGTAATAATGGTGGTGAAAAATTCTGAGCTTATCATAAATTGTTGTATCTTCTACAGTAGACCATAATTTATATTGAAAGAAGTGAAACCTTCCTAATCTGAAAAGTTTGAATATAGAATAAATTCCCAAACTCAGACTTCGTATATTTTTCTAGTTTGTCATAGTTTTTCCATATTCAACAAAAAGCTCAGAATCAAAAGCCGTGCTACACAACATTCTCAAACATTTCCAGGATGAATAAAGCACAAAACAAGTGTTAGCAAAACGATGCGTTTTGAAGCGTCAGCAAATTTTGGTAACAAGGTTGTGATTTATATATCTTTGACATGAATATAACTGGTGGCAATAATACATAGGAAAGGGTTTACATATTTTTTCGGGGGAAAGAAAAGTCGATAAGACTGCTTAATTGTATGGCGAACCATGGCCTCTCATCCGTTTCCTAACGCCGCACCGCCGAGTCATAATCTCAAACATTCTTGGTATTTCTTCACAGATGTCTACCGTTATACATATAAATGAAAGAGAAAGGTCTTATGCCTTCCATGCTTCTGTTCGGAAGATAGTATTACTTGGTATTTCTCTTCCTATGTTTGGAATGTTTTTCGGAATTCTTTGGTCAATTTTTTTCGATATGGAGAGAACTACAGCTACCCATTGTTTGGTAAGTTCTTTATGAAAGTTTTTTGGAAGCATTCAAGCATCGGAAATTTTTTGTGACAATTTTGCTCCAATTAAGGTGCCAAACTCTCTAATGGAAATGGTGTAGGCCACTGACACTACAAGGGTCGCATGGTGGCTTAGCAGTCAAATTGTTGGCATCGCAAGTTATAACTGTTAATTTGATCTTAGATGAAGCCCCAACAGACGGCCCCTTAATAAAAAGGTAGGTATCACAGGGGGTTCAGCGACTAAAATGGTAGGTATCACATGTATCATTGACTAAAAAAGGTAGGTATCAGTAGTAGATGACTAAAAAGGTGGGGTTAGGGTATCAGTAACCCGAACCCTACCTTAGTCATCTACTACCGATACCTACCTTCTTCAGTCAATGATACATGTGATACCTACCTTTTTGGACACGTAGTGGACATAACGATCGTTTCAATATTATGTTGTTGTTCTTGTTCTTTGACACGTTTTTAAAAAGTCGCTTTTCTCTTCGAATACTGGACCAATTGCTTTGAAATTTTCAGTGGTTAAAGATAAAAATTTTCTCCAGAAGGCTATTACTTTTTTTTTCGCTATGACGTCATCAAAATTATGTGACTCTACGTGTCCATATATTTGAGCATAGCTCTCTTGTTAGTCATATACTACTGCTACCTATGTTTTTATTCACTGATACCTATGATACCTACCTTTTTAGTAGGGTCCCAACAGAGCAGTGGTTTCATGAACCCCTCTGCTATGACAAGGAGTCCAGCAATCATTTGTTAATAATGAGAAACCCTACAAGATTTGAAGCGAGAGTAATCACAAATGTCATTGCAATCATGTTTGCACAACTCTAAATCATCAACATCCCAATCTTTTTCAGGTCAAAAATTACCTTCCTTCAATCAGTGCGGCGTTTAATTATTTTCCCACGTCATCAGTATGGAGAATATGCATTTCGTTACATCTTTTTACGAAGATCGTTTTGTTTTATCTTACTACAATGAACAGAAGTAAAAAAATGAATCAACTAAGTCTGGTATGATATTTTTGCAGGGGTGTTGGAAATCAAAAAATATTTTCACTTTCTCATATTGAAAAATTTGATTATGGGTATTGATCTGAATCTAAAATTGGGTCATGTTACCCAGAAAAGTTGCACAAGTCTGTATATTCAAGAAAATGAAAAATTGCAACATATAATCAACCCCCATATATTGAACCTGTCAAGAGATGCAGGGTAATTAATCTATGGTCGGATAGTTACACTATTCGACCTATATTGGTGTCGAGGTGGAAGATTTCTAGTTCCAACCCCATCACCTCATCCAGGGTGCAATAAATTGGATATTGAATTATAATCATTTTGTGTTTTTGCAAAAATAGTACCTCCCATCTTATCAGTGGCTACTAGTAGAAAGTCATGTTAGTAATAAAATATTTTGTTAACATGAATATTTGATAAAACCAGACACTAGGGTTAACACGGCAATACTGAGCTGGAACTGGAATGGTAAAAATTTCCCAGAAATATTCGTTGCTTTCCCATCTAAGGCCTTACCGGTATAAAACTACAGGGAGTCCTCGACTTACGACGTTGTTCCGTTCTTGAGACGCGGTGTAACCCGAATTTCAGTGTAAGTCAGAACAACCAAAATGGCGTACGGTATCACTGAAACTGTGTACCATGTGACTGAAGCTTAGTGATTATTCGTTCACATTCGTAATAGTTCGCAATTGTCTGCGTCATTTACAATGTAAATGACGAAAACCAATGAGCCCAAAGCACTGATTTCCTTGATCACAAAGATCCAGTTTAAGGGCTTAGATATTACAGTACAGTAAATATAAATATACAATGAAACAGAAGATGAAAATATTCGACTGAAAAACTTCAGACAAACAATACCTGAAATAATGTTTAAAACTAAACAATCATAAAACGTGTTCTCATTTTCAGCTTGCCCCTTACCAAGGTTCGTTATCGAAGTTTGCAACAACTATGAATGGCATTGAGAACTTTTCTTTGCTCTGCTTGACAATGATTACATCTAAGGAAAATAAAAGTGAGTAAGACTTATCTGTAACTGTCAGCATTTGGGCTATCTTTTAACCCTTTCCGTGCGGTGGGCACGTATACGTACCAACGACAAAAGTCGCTAGATTGCGGCGGGTACGTTGATGTACTTCACTGTTTTATTTTGCAATCGGTCGCAAACTGTTGGTCTAGTTTTCCTGGGTTTTAGTTTATCGCTAAGAAATCTTCTTCGAGATTAACATAAGCGACGGTAAATCTCGCTTTCGTTTACGACAGGAATTTTATTTGCGGCGGAACGAGGGAGTGTTTTTGAAATTTATGCAAATTTCGGTGTTTTTTGGGTGGTAATAGAAGACATATTATCTCGTCCATTTACCAAAGTATTTTGAGTTAGATCACGAAATTGCTACAGCAATATTATGCTATTGTTTGCCAACCACGAAGCGGTAACAGTAAAGGATTTAGCGAATATTTCTATTTTTTATCACGGTTTGAAGTTTCAACTCCCCAAAAAAAATGCCTTTTTTCTATCCGGTTTGTGACTCAGACCACCACTTTTAAAAAAACTTTTTTTTTTTAATCGCCAATTGCAAGATCTTTAAATAAGCTTTCCAACGAGCCATCAGTGGGCAGCAGAGGATCATTAGTTTTTCGATAGTCGATCGATTAGTTGTGGGGGTACAAATGCATAAAATCGGCATAGCAAATACGATTATTTAATAAAAAATAAAAATCGCATGGAAAGGGTTAAGTCAGTGGTTCCCAAACCGTGGCCCGTAACTACCATGTCTATTGCGTATTTAGCAATTTTACGAGGCCATAGCGATTTAATATGACCTGCCGAACTCAATAGTTTAACAAATAATGTTTTTACTTTTCTGCATTCTAGATACCGCCGATCATTACGTCATTACCACATTTTAAGCACATGTGTTTTTGTAACGAATCAAATATACCTGTATCTTAATTATACATACTACTTAGTAAACGATAATTTTTATTTTTCAGCTATTCACGTCATCAGCTTTACTTTTTTCGTTATTTCATCAATTAGTTACATTGTGTCGATATATTTGCTGTATTCTTCCATGGTTCTTGAAACTCAACTCGAACGAAAATCTCTCCGATTGAAAAAACGTTACTGCACTATAAATATTCTCAGCTTTTTGTTGGTGGTTTATTCTTATTACCGACATAATGCTTACTGTGAACCAGGAGGTAAGAGTGAGTTATTTGATATATGTAAAAATTCAAATGCTTTTCATTGCGATGCTATCTCAAGGTGGTACTGTGGCATGGGGTCTACCACACTATAGCGTGATATTTACCTCAAGCTATCCTCTTGTCTGGTTACCTGTCCATGCCCAGTATTTGAATAGTTGAACCGTAATATGTTTTAGATACATGTCATAATGACCCTGATTGTTACGTTATGCTTCTTACTAACAATAAACGTTAGCCTGGTCATCGGATTAGCCTTTGTCAATAAAATGTTCTTTATTCACAATTTTTCATATTGAGTTTCATGCCCCCAGTCCATTATATGTACCCGGCACTCTCAGAAAAGTAATTTCCTACCCCTGCCATAAACCTTGAGTCTAGTGTGAAGTCATGGGTCTTGTCTATAATTCTTAACAATATGATGCATCAGGTATTTTCCAAAAAAAAGGCATTTGTGTCATAGTCCCTTCCCCCACTGCTGGCCTGCTGCTATCTTTAATTATACACTAACTTAATTTTTTCAGTGTACACCATGTTTGCGTTCTTCGAATACATATTCGTTCTTTCCAACATCGGATTCCACTACACAGAGTCACTAGATTTTCATTCGTATTCTTGCATTGTGGGAGAAGATAGAAAAATAAGCTCGTCTTGATGACTAGACAACCTGAAATAATCCTGCATCCAGCAAAAAACGGAATAACTTTTCCTGCTGTATTATGATATTTACAAAGGTTTCTCGAGTTATTTTTAATGAGTTGTTTACATACTTCCACTCTGAACAAGGCTCCAACCAGCAGACGGCGATAGGTATAAAGATATGGTATTTTTAGACTGACCCATAATCTTTATTATCATTAAAAAAGCCCACAAGAATTTTTGGGCAACAAAAGTGGGTCTCGGAAGAGAAAAGGTTGAGAACCACTGGACTATTCGAAACCAATCTCACAAAGGTTATGGTAACATTTTTGACGTTCCAGAAGTATGTGTACCAATATGGAGGTGACTAATTTTATTCGCCTATTTTACATTAAGTTGTGTAAAGAGACTGAAACCTATGGGCAGGGGAATATTTACTTGGCTAACACAGACAGTCCCTGAACTCGTAATAGAACTAAAATCAGAATAAATTTTTGCCTAACCCTAACGCTCGATTTAATTGTCAATAAAAACCAATCAAATTCCTAATGTTTGTTGCCTATTAATTTAAAGATCAATAACGAAGAGCATTTTCTAATGTGAATTAATCATTGCTATATTGTTTAGACGAGACTAATCAATTTCATATTTAATTCTCTTTCAATTTAATCTTCTTTCAATCTAGATATTGTTCGGTAGTTTCGACATTGTATAAAAATGTTATGTTTAATACATCAATGGTTTCTTGCAATTGGCCAAAATTTGAATTTTGTTGTTAAATTCTTGTTTTTTCACATTTATAGCTTGCTTTATAATTTGTTTAAGCTTATATTGTGTTTGTTGGGTCAATCTCAATTTCTCTCCCAAGGTAAATTTTTTTATGAGGCATCTTTATTCTAGAGAATGCTCTAGTTAAGCTATGTTAACTAGTACATAGGAGGCTTAACGCCTTAAAGGACTAGAATCTTCGTCATCACCACTTTGTCACACTTTAAGCGAGATGGTGACATTTAAAGATATTTAACCTGTAATCGCAGCAAGTCCCGTTTAACTATACCTAATTCGACATTGCGCATCACAGGTCTCCTCTGAAGCTAAGCTGCCTATTTTGATTTCTGGACTTCGAACCTGACCAAGATTCTGCGGGTTTCAATTTCTACACACTAGTTTGGTATTTTTTGACTAGAGGAAGTGTTTGCATTTGGCTGTGGGAGTTATATAAACCGTAACATACTATTAAATAAATAAATCTATTATATAAAATTAAGTAACCTGGTTGGCGACCCCTATTATTACGATAAAGTTACAAGTGTTAAAAGCGCTCTAGCATCAAGTCCATACTTTGCGAAAACAAATAAATAATTCCATACTCGACATAGACTGGTAACCGGACGAGAGACCGTAGTTCGTCATATATTTAAGTCAACTTTCCTCTCCCTTGGGATAAATATATTAACCTATCGTATCCCTCCCTTATGGCTCTGTTTCCCAACCTTCACTATCCTATTATATTAGATGTCATTTCCACTTACGGTCCAGGTTTTGCTCCTAATGCAGAAAGAATTCAGAAATTCAAGTATATGGACCTGACGCATTTTCAAGCATGCGCCTTTGTTGTGTATCTATATGTTATTCTTTACTTTATGCTACATTTAGTTCATGTTTTGTAGAGATTATTGTTAATGTTTCTAAGATTGTAAAATTATTTATTTACCAACCGAGTTTTAAGATAAGCTTGATTATCATTATAGATTTAACTATGCATGAAAGGATATAAAGAAAAAATTGACGTTTTGTATTTGTTGCACAGATGTGAGTGATTAGTTAAATATTATAAACCTCATTTTGGCGATGGATCGCGTGGGTTCTTGCATTGTTGGTGTTGACATTCGGGCCTTGAAACAGCCGTATGAATAAAACTCATGAATACAAAATGTCCTCTATGCAAACGTTTTGATGCAAAAACAGCATCGCCTCAAGATGGCGCTACAAAGCCAATAATTCACCTTGTTATTTTCATCGTTTTGGAGCTCCCTGTCTGTGACATCACAGGGAACGCCGTTTTTGAACGTAATTGTGACGATAAATGGCCAAAACTGACTTCATACCGTGTTTACTCAAAAATCAGACCTATCCGAAAAGTAAAATAGGACTTAGCCTGAATTTTAAAAAATATTTTAATATAAGCCCTCTCTCCTTGGAAAAATACCTACTCGATAGCGCGAAATTTTTCTTGACCTTTTTTTATGAATCTAGCGACTTGCAAGACATGCCAGAGGATGATGATATGGTCATTTTTGAATAATCTGTGTTGAGCATTAAAAAAAAATAAAAACGTGTTATTTATAAGCAAATGGATATTGATTTTGTATATTTGAAAATCTCGTAATTCTCCACTTGGTAATTTTCTTGGTGAATGAAAATAAAACACATCCCCCTAAATTAAGCCCAAGTGCAAGTTTTCAAAAGAAATTGAAATTCTAAGACCGTGTTATCTTTTGAGAAACACGGTGGAGACAACTTATTGAACTATTACAGCGGTTTGGCCAAAATTACAAGATCTCAACATCCTCGAGAAATAACCTTTCCGTGGTCCACGTCCTATTTCAATTTTCTTTCGAAAAATGATGTTAGGGTTTATTTTTAAGGGATGTCTTCAATTTCAAAAACAAAATTACAAAGTAGAGAATTGCAAGATTTTCAAATAATACAGAATATTAAAACCAATATTCATTTATTCATAAGTTATACTTTATTCGCGTATAAATGAGTTTTTATTTCTCTGGAATGTCTTGCAAGTCACTAGAATCATAAATTTTAAGTTCAGTATTTTTTCCCCGGGAAACACGATATATTCCCACAAGATGTTGAAATACAACATATCAATCAATTGTCAGCGCTGCTTCGCTCATGAAGTTATGATACGCATACACTTTGGTCGTTGTGGGACGCGACCGCCTCTGATGGATCGTTTAATCCAGGAGTGTGAAACCTTTAACGCAGAAGGGTCGAATACAAGTAACTAGGTGAAACTGCGGGCCGCACCTTTATTTTACATAGGCTTTCTAGTAGTTACAGGCACCAAAATTTTGGTTATTGATCTTATGACTTGCGTTGTTCGTTTCGAACAAGCTAGCTGTTAGAGCATTGTGACGTTCTAGGCATAGACAATAAATTTGCACTCAGCTATCGGCTTTGCAACGCAAATGGATTGGAACAGATTAAAAACTCGTATCGCGGGCCACGCATCATTCAAAGTTAGCACTCCTTCGCAGGCCGCACAATTTTTCCTTGTGGGCCGCACACCGCTCGTTTGAAGAATTAAAACATCGACTTCCATGTTTACCTCCTTACTATTGGCTATAACTAGGGTTACCGTATTTTTTTGACTTCAAAGTGGGACGCCTCCTGTAACTTAACAATTTCCGATTTCACTACATAGACCTACATTTAAGCCATCCCGGCTGTCTTCATTGATCATATATATTGTCATCGAGAGTTCATGCGCATATTCTCTGTCTAAATATCGGGTTCAGATCGAAAAATAAAAATGTGGACGCTAACGATACAAATGATTTAATAGTCTGTCGTTTTCAAGCATTGAGAATTTACTTGTTCGCCAAAGCATGCTTATCTGTGGATAACATCTTTAAAAAAAACGTTGTTCAATGTTACATTCACGTGAACGTCCGAACAGGGCCAATTAGAATTGATTTTACATGTGATACGTCCGCTAACAATGTTAGCGGGAAACAACGAAACAAACAAAATAACGCATTCACCTTCAGGAAGTACGCTAGCGTTGCGCTGCACCAGCAACAACAGTGACGAGAACATGTTCGTGTATTATGCTGGATGGCTGAGCGCCAAAGCGGGACTTATGGCTGACTTGTCGGAACGGCGGGACAAGACGCTAAAAAGCGGGACTGTCCAGCCTAAAGCGGGACGTAGGGTAAGCCTAGCTATAACGGGAAAGTGACGTAACAGTCGAAATTACAAAAGTCGCTAAGACGCTTTTCGTTCAGACAGAATTTTAGGCAGGGTGGCGACGTTAGCTAAGTTTCATGGTTTTACAATTTGTTTGAATGATTTTCGTTGCCTTACCGAAATTTAAGGATGAATCAAATAAGTTGTTGGATATCTTCTGGGGATTTTTTGACGGGTTGCGGTGAAGTGATTAAATTTGAGTGCCGGATAAGCTGTGATAACCTAGTTCTAGGCTGATATCAGATATCCGTATTTTTGAATGACAGTTGGGCGATTACTTTCAATCAAAGCGATGGCTACGAACATAAGAATGACTCCGTAAACGGCAACTCTCGGAACAAGCATGGTGATTAAAAATGGCATTAGAAAGATTTTTGCAGCCAATAATGAAGTGATACCAAGAAACAAGACGCCAACCTTCACAAATTCCGTTTATCGGATAAGTTTTCCATAATTCATCAACAGTCATCTGGATGGATCGTATGTATACAACAACTCGCAGAACAAGCATTCAAAGTGGTGACTAAAAAAGGGATTAGAAGGATTTTTGCAGCCAATAATGAGGTGATACCAAGATACACGATGAATATCGTTTATCGAATACGTTTTCCAATATTTATCGACATTCACCTGGATCGTAGGTAAGGATTTTCTTTCAAGTCAGTCAGCTGAGTTTTGCGACGAAAGTACGTAACGGCACCCCGCTTTAGTGGCTATAGTTATTATTTCGTATTTTAACAACTAATTATTATGTCCAATCTTATAGAAAGTCTAATAGACAAAATTGTATGCAACATCCGTATGTTAAAATCAATAAATCTCGGAAGGATGATAGGGCGATTACACAGAATATATATGACAAACGAGGTTGACTTGCATCTTATAATTATGGCGCGACTTCTTTCTGTATATAAATTACTATTTGCGGTACACCCTTAAAAATACATCTTAAAGACACCCGAGCACTGCGAAGTGGATGTATGAATCGTGAAGTTTTTAGTGGTTAAACATTGTATTTTCACTAGAATTTCATTCATTTGAAAAATTTCCGTGGGCTCTTAGAAATTCGTTTTTGTGTGCGATGACGTCAATCAAATTAAAAACCTTCACTATTTTGGCATGAGGGGGGCGGGGGTGGTTGGCGGGGGATTGGGGTGCATGAAGACAAGACATCGGAACTGGTAGGTTGTGGGCATATACGCTTACTACTTCACGTCAATATATATGAGCATCGCTCTTTAGTTTATTCAGAAATACACTTTGTACAAACATAATTTAAAATGAAGTAAAATAGCATTCGATGGTGAAGGGAGTCGGAAAATGAATAAATATCCAACGCGCTGGCAATTGAAGTAACCATTAGTAACAAAATACTCACACAACGTAATTAGTAATTAATTTGTTAGTTTTTATGTTCTACGTTCACAAATGAAGTGCTGAATGTGTTTGTTCAGCAAAGCACGATGACAATTTGTGTAATCTTACACTCTTTTTCCACCCAAAAGTTTTCCCACACAAGTCGCAAGAGAATGGTTTCGCACCAGTGTGGACGACGCTGTGTTGACGCAGTTCACGTTTCTTCTCATACTTGGCTCCACATATTTCACATGCAAAAGGTTTCTTCTTGACAAAATTTTGTCCCGTGTGTATTAGCATATGTCTCTTCACGTCTGATTTATAAGCAAAGCATTTACTACAAACGTCGCAGTTATAAGGTTTTTCACCGGTGTGCATAACACTGTGATTTTTCACGCTTTGCTTCGACAAAAATCTTTTTCCGCAAACCTCACAGGAAAATGGTCTTGGCTTCTTCTTGATTGCCATTTTAATTGTTCCCGGCTCCGCGTGTAAAGCGACGTAATGCTTCCTCACATATGACATTTCTGAGAAGTGTTTCCCACAGACATCACAGGAGTATTTTTTCTCTCCCATATGTACCGTTGATATATGTCTGGTCAAATGACATTTTTGAGTGAACTTCTTGTTACAAATTTTACATTTGAATTGCCTTTTTGGCTTGTGAATAAGCGTGTGCCTCTTGAGATTGCTATATGAGCTTAATACTTTCCCACATTCCCGACAAACATGATTTTTGCTTTCAGTGTACGTAGCACTTTTCTCATTTTCCAGGTCGTTTTTATTCTTTGAATGGACCCCGAATACTTGGCGTTTACTCGGCTCATTGTTGTCGATCTGCATATTTCAAAAAAGCCAGGGCAACGTAAAATTCAATGCTGTGTAATTATATTATTGTTGTAAATATTGCAGATAAGGGCCTGTAATAATAAGTATAATATACTATTGAAAAATGCAAAATATAACTATAACGAATTTTATGTACGTAATCATGCAGCTTAAGTTGTAGTAGTTTAAACTGATATGTTTTTATTTCTTGCGCTCTGGAATTCCTTGGTCTCGGTAGCGCTTGGCACTTCAGTGGTTGAACGACGCTTCTGACTTAACTCACATATTATTCTCATTCATTTGCATGCGCTTGAATTTCCTTTAGGCGATTTGGCTCTAAAATATTATATAAGACTATTGAGGAGTATGAAAAAATCTATTCATGAAATATCATTGAAAAAATCGGGCCCTTTCCGCAACCAACTTCCCTATTATCAAATTCGACTAATAACCTGTGGTCTGTCTCTGTAACACGCTAAACGAGCAAAACCATAGGAAGTGCTATATTGATACTATATATTGTTTCGGTCCTCACAGATGTATTAAATGAAGTCAATAACGATTACTGATTGAAAGACAACGAACCTTGTTTGGGATAAATCAAAAACTGACTTCATAACAAAATTGAATTTGTAAAGAGACTGTATGGACACCCTGTATTCTTTGGAAATGTTAGCTCATTTCACACAACGAGCAAAATACATCCAATATAATCTTATTTTTATTCCTGTTTAACCTATTTAGAGTAGAATGAAGTAAACTCGGCTATCAAGCACGTGCAGTCATTTATAACTGGAGTTACCTGTACGTGCTACACTTTCTTGATCCACTCTCAAGGTTGAATATGATCGGTGCTTTTGCTGATTTCCCATCATTTCTTAAACTGTTCTCATCGGATCCAAAATCATTTCGTTCCAAGATTGCTTACTACTAACCTTACGCGACTCGACTAAACTGCTCATAAAAACGCGAATCGACGATCGAAATTTGGGATAATTGCTACTTGATAATTTGGCTTCAAATTGTTCATTACGTGTCTTACGCGACTCGACTAAACTCTCAACAATTACAAACGCGAATCTGCTAACGAATTTGGGATAATTGCTACTTGTTAATTTGGTTTCAAATTGCCCCAGGCTTCTATCGGGTTTGAAGTTGATCATAAACTCTCGCTTTACCGAGGCGTTGTAGGCTATTCCATTATTTTTCACAAGTCGCTAATTGCCAAAGCATCATTATCTATGCCAGTGGTTCCCAAACTTTTTCGGCCATCGCCCCCCTACATGAGTTTATACGACTTCATCGCCCCCCCGGCAATACAAAAATATGTAAAGTCAGAAACGAATATATTACAGACCAAATAAGAAGAAAAATCATAGTTTATACTATAAACTTTATAGTGTTTTTAATGAGATAGATGAGCTTGGCGTTTTTCAGCGAGTTTTTTATTGTATCTAAAATTACTTCGTTTACTGGTGGAAAGGCGATTTCGTTGTCTTGATAGCAATAGTAGCACGGCTCAAAACCCCGTTTTCACCCTATATTAGGTCGGAAATAAAAGAATCCAGGGTTCTACTTTCTCAAAAACAGCTCTCTTGCGTGTACTCTTGCCTTATAGCATTTCACTTCCTAAATTCACCTCATTTCACATTAAAATAACGAAAACAAAGTTAATTTTCCTAAACTTATAATAATGATTTTCGTACATCTCATTCATTCCTACAGCCTGATGACCTGCACCAAAATACTTCGGTAAAATTTATCCCCTATTCCTCATCCTACCACGGCCTCCAATCCATAATTAATAAGCCATTTGTTTTTGGATTCATGGACTCGGATGTGAAAGAAGCCGTGACCGACTATCGGCTACGGCCCAGGGGTCGGCAAATTTTTATGTCGCTCGCGGCGAGACAAAATTCAGGGTTGCTAGTCTTTTGCGGGTCGCATATATTTTTGGAAAGTTAAAAACGGAACAGCGCGCGAAAACTGCGACAATTCGTGAACTCAAATCAGTCGTCTTATTAAAAAAATATTACAATAACATTTGATGTGACATTGTCTTCTTGCTGCATCACGCTGGATAGCTTTACGACGCCAAGATTGGAATATTTTCTAAATGGGCATCACTAATCCCAGTTCTTTGCTTATGCTTTGTAATGTTCATTTTCGAAAATAATTGTTCGCACAAATATGTACTTCCAAACATCGAAGTGAATATTGTCGCATGATTTGTGGTTTTTTGATAAGGATTTTCTTTAAGAAGATACATTCTTACAAAAATTAAGCGTGATGAATCTCTCGAATAGAATAGGAATTTGCTTTGTTTATTGCATTGCAATATATTCGAATATTGACTGCGCTATTGAATCCCTCCTCGGCATCAACTTTTCTTCGTGTTTCCATTTGTTTAATTATGATTAAATTGTAGGCTCGTTAAACGAGTAGCTGTTTAATAGAATTTTTAGGATATAAGAAAATTTAGTCCAAACGTGTCTCACGATAAATTCTGTTAGGTAAAAAAATGTAATTTATTCCTCGAGCGTAGATTATAAATAAAAAAATTTCATCGTCAAAACCGCCGTTTGGATGTTTCCTCCGGCATAGACTTCCTTGTTTACTTCGTGACATTGGCCAATCAGCAAGATGCAAAAAACAGTAACAAAGCCCCCTTTCGCATCCGCTCAGACACACTCACTCAGACAGATTTCCAGGCGTTGTCGTGAACATTACCTCATTTTCGCGTTTTTGTATTATTTTCGTTAGTTTTTAGTTGTTTTTCAGAAATTTGAATAAAAATCAAATAAGTCAATGATTACTTTGTCTTCCTATGAGTTTCAGTTTAAATACAGTAATCAAAAATTAGTGTAGAAATAGCTGTGATAGACTAGGCTAAAATTCTTTATCGGTACTTTTAAAAAACAGATTGTTGAATGGTGTGTATTGGAATGATGGTTTGAAACAAATACCCCATTTTACAGGCAACAACTCGCGAAACCACTCTTAAAATAAGCACCGAAAATTTTAAAATGGTGTAAAGTATGGGAAGAATTTTCCGAGGTCAAAGGTCGGGGAAAGTACCATTCTGTGAATCGTCCCGGGCCAGATTATTTTACTTCGGTCGTATTTGCCGACCACTGGGATACGCAAACTATCGTCCTTACTGCGAAGACGAGTCCAAAAATCCTTTCGCGTGTGGTAATCGCCCACGTGATTCGAGCCTGCGAATGCACACAGAGTACAGAATTAAGTGCACGATGCGCCGAACATTAAACAGGTTTCGCGAAATCGCCCCCCCTCTGTATCGTTTTCGCCCACTGGGGGGCGATATCGCCCACTTTGGGAATCACTGATATATGTTATTTTAACCCCGTTCTTCTTGTTCCATAAAGGACCATATTATACGTATTTAATTTACCTTATTATAATTTATACATATCAAATGGGGTGTATGCCGCACATTCGTGTTTTAGGCCACATGAACCCACATGAAGAATTCGTGCGGCCCACTTAAAGTTTTCAAATAAATACGGACATATAAACATATTTAACATAGAAATTTCCTGGTATAATATCAAATCTTACTAGAATTTAGGCTATAATTTCACGCGACTTCGCCATAAGAAAAGCGTTGTTAAACGCCACAGAACATGATTTTACAGAGGGCCACTCAAGCGTGCAATATTGCAATATCTGTGGCGATACAACGAGTTTTCTACCTATTGTGAAGTCATCAAGGTTGAAGTCACATACCGGTACTGTGTTTTATCGATTGTTGTTGAACCACAAAAACAAACCCGCCGGTACGTCTAGAACAAAAAAGATGAAGCTCGAGGATGAAAATTGGAAATATTAAAAGAACTGGGAAGAGTTGTAAGACAACGATGTATGCTAAATATACTGAAAAACCTGTTTGGAGCTTGAAGTCTTATAATTTGAAAATTATGAAGTCGAAGCATATAGGAGTACACTGACGAACGAAAATTTGACAAGCCAGATAGTTACTTTGTGCGGTATCAAAACTACCCGTTGACATAAACAGTTGAGCAATGACAATCAGAAGCAAGTTTCGCACTAGTTGGAGAAAAAGAATGATAACTTTATTTTTTTTTTCTTGATTTTTGACGCCGATGTATGTGCATTTTGAACAAACGTTGAGTTGAATTTCATGGTCTTTGTGTGCATCTTGTGTTCAGAAATCCACAAAATTGTTGTGCAATCCAGGCATTTGATTAAGCGACGTTCTAACGTAAATCAGATGGTAGGTATTTGAGTTTGGTAAAAACGTTTGCGGCCCGAATTTCCCCATGAGAAATGAATGAATTTTCCTATGAGAAAGTGGCCCGCGACACTTAAAAGGTTGGACATGCCCGGTCTTGTGCCTACATCCCGTCTTCAGTATCTATAAGTACTAATTCTTTTATATTGCTTTTACGAGACAAATAAACATACATACATACAATGGGTGACTCAGCCCAATTATTTTAAAAATCGTTATAAATGGTCGATTTGTCGGTTAATGATGAAACGAGATAGCGATCAGAGACCGCCGACTTATCGATCTAACGGCGTGTATCCTTCACTATGATTCAATAGCGACACCGCGTGTCCTATCACTAATTATACGACATAATTACTCCCAAATCAATAGACTTCTGGTCCAAGATATGATGAATGCACGTGCAAATTCGGAGCAGATTCAACCTCGCTTCCGTGAGATATCGCGTGTGTCTAACAGACAGACAAATAAACTGACAAATACCCATTAACATACTTACCGTTCAAGATCGATAAGTAACAACCCTGAGTCACTCGTCATACGGATCGAGTTCGGGCCTAAGACAAGGTTCAACATTCGAAACGCAATTCGTAAGACAGACTTGAGTAGTATCTTGCTGTTTCGCGTCTCACAATTCGAATCTGAGTCCATCGAAATGCTAATTTAACACAGCCAGGGTTTTGGAACTTTTCATTGTTCGTTCTATTTGTAGCATATGATTTAAATTGAGAAGCACACAAGTTTCTGGTATGGTGGAGTCGGTCGTTTATTAATATATTAATATTTAGTATAATTGAAATACACTTTGTGAAAACAGAATTTGAAATAAGGTAAAAATATTTCATGGCGACATTGGTGATTCATGCCAAATAGTTATAAATATAGGAGTAGGAGGAAAAATGTTTAAAAGCAATATTATGTCCCGACAACCTGGATTAAACAGGAGTTGCCTGTCACACACAAAAACAACGCCGAGCGAAAGCAAGTTAGGTAACCCTAGAAACGGAAGTACAAACAACACCTTGACAAGTACAGTAAATACTTTGCTAGTGTATATGCTTTACGCCAGGAATCGGCAAACTTTTATCGTTCGCAGGCCAAAATTAAAGGTTGCACGTTATTATCGGGCCGCACATATTTTTAGAAAGATAAAAACCGAGGGAATAGCGAATGAATCACATTTTTTCACACAGATTTCAGTTTAATTTCAAGCAGCGCGCGAAGACTGATCATTTGAATATTTTCTGCGCCATTAAACCATTTGCACTCAGCGTCAACTTTTTTACTTTCTGTTGCCATTTGTCTAATTATAATCAATTTATAGGCCCATTGAACGAGTGATTATGAATTTTATACTTGTTAGGTTATAATATAATTTAGTGTCTCAAACATATTCTGTTACGAAAAGAATATAATCGTCAATACAGTTGTTTTGTTAATATAATTCAGTGAAGCGTCCTGCGGGCCGTAGTTTGCCGACCCCTGCTTTACGCTCACGCGTGTAAGTATTCAGTGTACATGTTTGGCAAGGCACGATGACAACTTGTGTAGTCTTACACTCTTTTTCCACCCAAAAGTTTTCCCACACAAGTCACAAGAATATGGTTTTTCACCAGTGTGCACTACGCTGTGTTGCAGCTGCTTATATCTAGACTCATACTTTGCTCCGCATATTCGACAAATGAAAGGTCTCTTTCTGGAAGTCTTTTGTCCCGTGTGTGTTAGTATATGTTTGCTTAAACTCTCTTTATAAGCGAAACATTTACCACAAAATTCGCAAGTATAAGGTTTTTCGCCAGTGTGAATATGACTATGGTGATTCAACTTGAACGCAGACACAAAGGTTTTTCCACAAACTTCGCAGGAAAATCGTCTCGGCCTCGTATACATTAATTTTCTAGCTGTTCCTGGTTCCGCGTGTAAGGCAGCGTAGTGATTCCTCACACATGACATATTTGCAAAGTGTTTTCCACAGACATTACAGGGGTATTTTTTCTCTCCCATATGTACCATCGATATATGCCTGGTCAAATGACCTTTTTGAGTGAACTTCTTGTTACAAATTTCACATTCGAATGGTTTCTCTCCCTTGTGAATAAGCATGTGTGCCTTTAGATTGCAGTGTTGGGTTAATACTTTTCCACATTCTTGGCAGACATGGCGTTTGTATTCAGTGTACGTAGCACTTTTCCCCTTTTTCATTCCATCTTTATTCTTTGGATGAAGTCTAAATACTTCACGTTTACTCAGCTTATCATTGTCGATCTGCATATTTATAGAAAGGAGCAATTATAATATAACTGAAAATATAGCAACTCGTGGTTAGTAAAAAAAAATGACTAGTACGGCATAGGCCAGGGATAGCGAATCATTGAACCACCGCGTTTTATTCGTGACCCGCCAAGGCAAGAATAAAATTTTTAAAAAAATTATAAAATATCAGTGATAAAAATTGATAAAACCGACCCTCAATTAATTTAACAATAACTAAACTATTATAATGTACGGTCAGTTGGGCAGTCAGGGCTGCGATCGCTTATATTCAAATTGTTAATTTCTGTGCCGATATAGTAATTTTCAAAACACCTAATGTTGGACGCATGTCTATACCGCTGTGTACCATTATTCAGCTATTGGCTCTGACATCGTTTATGACATAACAATGCAATTGGTCTGTTCATTTCTCGCAACGTCTTGTCTCTTTCGGAAGTGCATCTGCAGACTATTTTTATAGGAGAACTAAATGCTACTTTGCATTTTACTAGTTTCTCGCCTACAATGCCGCTGAGAACACAAAATCTTTCAGAATTGAAAAAAAACCTAGAAATCTGAAAAAACAAGGGGGCAGTGTAAAGTGGCTTAATGTGCTTGAAAGCTGAAAAATATAATACTATCAGGATGGAATTCCCTCCAAACTCTTTGGAACCAAAAAAAAAATTTGCCGCGTCATTCTAAACGTTTTTGGTAATTCATATGCGTGTTTTCGTACTCTAATTTCATAAAATCGAGTGCCATAAAAAGTCACTGATAGAAGTAAAGCACAAAACTATACTAACACCAACAAAACTTATAAAATTTCAGAAGTTTCTTATAGATACCAACATGGATTAAATATCTGTGAACCAGTCTCTTCTGTTCCGCGATACAAATATAATTTTTGACCCATTCATTCAAAAAGGTTCGCCATCCCTGGCACAGGCTCTACTATATATATATATATATTTGAAGTGTTAGATCATCTCGCGCATCAGGTAAAATATATCACTATAATTTTATCCAATAATTTCTTAGTCTAGATCAGGGGTCGGGAACCTTTTTGGTCAAGAGAGCCATAAAATATACATATTTTCAATTGCATTTCCGTGCGAGCCATATAACATTTCTTCACTTGATCAGGCCTGAAATGTTTACTCAAAAGTCAACACATACAATGTCAATATACATTTAATGTGATTTCTGATGCTGCATGTAGTCGCTGCGGGCCTTGAACGGTTGCTCACATGCAGCCCAAGTTGAAATCTACGATTCTCATCACCCTTTTTCGTTTAGGCATCTCCGTAGTGTTTTTAAAACTCTATCGCTTTGTGATGTCACAATATATGTTCCAGAATCCCCTTGTTTGTCACAATGCCTGTCTGGTGATTATCTCACATAACATAGACACGTGCTGGGCGCGCGTTCTCAAACGTTTTGGGAATTTCCTGCCAAAATTGGCTATAAAAGAGTTTGAAATCTTGTAACAATAGTAAGCTTAGTCTTAGAATATTAGATTTTTCTGGGAGCCATATGCCGTCACCAAAAGAGCCATATATGGCTCGCGAGCCATGGGTTCCCGACCCCTGGTCTAGATAGCTGGACTCGAACTTCATTTTTTTATCCATCTCACGCATTCATTCACTATACTTGTTAGACAACGTTCACGCTGGCTTCTATAATTAATACGTCTATAATTAATGCGAAACCAAAGGATTTAGGGCGTCATCAAATGGGCTGCTGTTTTCCATCACGTCTCAAGCTGTCTTCAATGGACCTATAAAATTGGTTGCTTCAAACTTGTCTATCACTAACCTTACGCGATGAGACTAAACTTCTAATAATTAAAAACGCGAATCGGCAAACAAAACTCGGGATAATTGCTACTTGTTAATTTGGCCTAAAATTGCCTCCGGCTTCTATCTAGTTTAAATTTGATTCAACTCTCGCTTTACCAGGCTACATATTAAATAGTTTTTACATATACATATATTAACGCAGTAAATTTTGATTGGTTTCTAATTGGCGAAATTTGTCCTTATACTATCGTATATCAGTGGCAATGAGGCATCAATGTTTATGTGTGTTATCAATCATAACACCTGTGTTGCCATGACTTATTCTTATCTCAATGCGCGATCACGCCACATTGCCCAATGCGTAATCAAAGTTATTGAACGATTTGTCCAGATTCCGAAGAACGAAAACATGCGTCACTCATTAGTTTCATATATTTTTTTTTCGTCGTGCAAAACCGTGAAATAAATAAAAGGAATATAACAAATTACAAAAACGGGTATCGTATTATTGCAGTAGAGGAGGGGTCGCAAAAGATGTCGTCCAGTCAACGACGTCCTGTAGCTGCAAATATAGCAACCGAACAACTCAATATGAAATATTTACTAAATCCGACACAATCATATAAAATATGATATCGCCAGCCTTAAGTCATATTGCTCCTGCTCCACTTCTTTTATTTAAATTAATATGTCGTTTATTAACTATAATGAAAGACATTTCAAACAGAATATGAAATAGAGTAAAAAAATGCCAATTCATATTTGAGAGCCCGATAAAAACAAAAATACCTTGAGCAGAGGTACTAGTGATTTTGACCCAACAGTATTAAATACAAAAGTGGGTGAAAAAAAATCGAGCAATGTTGATTAAAAATGTATCAAAGTAAGTCCTGAATACCTGATATAAAACAAAAAAACAGTGGCGAGCGTAGGCAAGTGAAATATTCATGAAAACGAAAGTGTACTTAGACGTACACAACGTAAATAATACTTTGTTAGTGTATATGCTTTACAGTTCTGAATGTGCATGTTTGGCAAAGCACGATGATATCTTGTGTATTCTTGCGCTCTTTTTCCACCCAAAAGTTTTCCCACACAAGTTACAAGAGTAGGGTTTTTCACCAGTGTGCACAACGCTGTGTTGTCGCAGTTCATCTTTCTTCTCATACTTGGCTCCGCATATTTGACATGCAAAACGTCTCTCCTTGACAAGATTTTTTCCCGCGTGTGTTAGAATATGTTTGTTCAAGGTTCCTTAATAACCGAAGCATTTGCCACAAACTTCGTAAGTATATGGCTTCTCCCCAGTGTGCACAATTCTGTGATTATTCAAAACTAATTTAAACATAAAGGGTTTCCCACAAACTTCGCAGATAAATGGCCTTGGCTTGTTATTGACTGTCTTTTTCATTGTTCCTGGTTCATCGTGTATTCTTGCGTGATGCTTCCTTACATCTGACTTTTCTGCAAAGTGTTTTCCACAGACATCACAGAAGTGTTTTCTCTCCCATATGTACCATTGATATGTGTCTGGTCGAATGACCATTTTGAGTGAACTTCTTGTTACATATTTTGCATTCGAATGGCCTTTCTTCATTGTGAATGAGCATGTGTGTCTTGAGTTTGCTGTTTGTTCCTAGTACCTTCCCACATTTTTGGCAGACATGGCGTGTGCAACCCATATACGTTGCACATTTCCCCTTTTTCATTCCATCTTTATTCTTTAAATGTATACCAAATACTTCACGTTTACTGTGCTCATCATTGTCGTTCTGCATAATTCTAAAAAGCCGGCAAATGAAACAGTAGCAATTATGATATAACTGAAAATATAGCAAATCGCGGTTTGTAAAAAATAAATAAATCGACTAGTATAAGGGTCTAGTGTAGTTTAGTAACTAACGTACTTCCAGTAGCGCATCATAACAATTTTTCACAGGTCAATCGTAACCCCCACTTGATTGCGTCATTGACAAATTACGTCACAACGACGCCATAGAGCTTGCCAAAGTATACATATGATTGTCAAAAATGCCATATGCGCCGATGCTATACAACTCACTAACAACAGCGATATCCCTCATATCGGAATCGTTGCGACGAGAAAATGAGAGAAATAACTTGCTCGATCTCTAAAGCTGTCTTCAACTGAACCAAATCACTTTGCCTCAAACCTGTCCATCACTAACCTTACGGGACCCGAGCAAGCTGCTCACAATTAAAAACGCGAATCGACGAACGAAATTTGGGATAATTGCTACTTGTTAATCTGGCTTCAAATTTCCTCGGGCTTCTATCGGGTTTAAATTTGATTCAACTCTCGCTTTAAGGGCTTTTAGATCAAAACATAGGAAATGTTGAATTAGCTAATTGGCAAAATTTGGCCTTATGCTCTCGTTAGGGTTACCATATTTTTGTGACCTAAAAGCGGGACACCATCAAAGGCCATAGCTATTATTTTTTAACTTTAAATTGAACCGATTTTACATTAGGTAGTAGGTACCTACTCAAAACCATCACGGCTGTCTTCATTAACCATATTGTCATCGAGTTCATGCACCGTCTGTCAAAATATCGGTTTCGGTTTGAAAAATAGAAAGAAATTTACGTTAACGTTCAGCACCCTTTTGGCGAACACATGCAAAACCACGCATCCGCCTTCAGTAAGTAGGCTACGGAGGGGCGGATTATGCCCCCTTGGTGCCCTAACCACTTCAAGACATGGTGCCCCCATATGTGTAATTTGAAATATAAATACAATATTGTAGTGTAAACCATATCTTTAGCCAACAAGCTAAGAGAATAATGTTTTTTTTTAAAACAAAAAATAAACAACAAGGAGAAAACCACGAAAAACAAGAACAACAATTTAACAAACAACACACATAACACACATTTTGTGCCCAATAAGTAATTTTCAGAGTCCATTACTAATTGATGGCCAAGCTTGATTATTTTACATGATTTTGGAGTTCGAAAATCTTCATTCATTAAAAGAGAAGCTTAACGATACCTAAATAGGAAGAATGCAAATATTTTCAAGTCGTCTGACCAACACTGATACACAATTAAAAATTCATCTATAAAAATTCCTGTAGTGCCCCCTATTGGCTGGTGCCCTAAGCCCGTGCTTATATTGTTTAATGGGTAATCCTCCGCTGGCTACACATCAACAACAGAGAACATGCTAATTGGTAATGTTCGTGAATTATTTAATTGACTACATAGGGCGATTTTACTACATAGGCCTACTTTTAAAGCCATCCCGACTGTCTTCATTGACCATATTGTTATTGTCATCGAGAGTTCATGCGCATATTCTCTGTCTTAATATCGGGTTCAGTTCGAAAAATAGAAAGGAATGGACGCTAACGATACAAACGTTCCGAATTTAGATTTTTTTAGGTACAGCAAAAGAAACAATGAATAATGAAATAGTCTTCTGTTTACAAGCATTGAGAATTTACTTATTCGCCCAATCATGCTTTTCTGTAGATAACACCTTCAAAAAGACGTTATTCAATGTTACATTCACGTGAACGTCCGAACGAGACTAATTAGAATTGGGTTTACGTGCGATACGTTTGTAACAATGTTAGCGGGAAACAACGAAACAAACAAAATAATGCATTCGCCTTAAGTAAGTGGACTAGCGTTGCACTACACAGCAACAACAGTAACAAAAACATGTTCGTGTATTATGCTGAATGGCTGAACGTCAAAGTGGGACTTTTGGCTGTCTTGTCGGGACGGCGGTACAAGACGCTTAAAAGCGGGACTGTCGCGCCGAAAGCGGGACGCATGGTAAGCCTAACTATCGTATATCAGTGGAATGAACATGTGTCAATCATTAGATTCATATATTTATTTTCGCCATGCAAAACCAATATAAGGTATGGAATATAACAAATTACAAAAACGGGTATCGTTTTGTTGCAGTAGACGAGGGGTCGCAAAAGACTCAAAGAGTTGTCAAGTCAACGACACCTTGCAGCTGCATTGAAGCAGCAAATATAGCAATCAAACAACTCAACATTAAATATTTACTAAATCCAACACAATCATATAAAATACCATATCGCCAGCCCTAAGTCATATTGCTTCTGCTCCACTTCTTTTATTTAAATTAATATGTCCTTTGTAGATAACACAAATCGGTCGTTTATTCATTAACCATAATGAAAATACATTTTGTACAAACAGAATAATAAACAGAGTAAAAAAATGCCATTCCACATCTGAGGGCAGCTCAAAAAACAGTAATACCTTGAGCAAAGACACCGGTGATTTATGCCTAACAGTAGGGCTGAGAGTTTCAGGGAAAACACTTTGACTGTTAACCGGGTAAAATTGATCGGTTAACCGCCACGTGACGTTTGGCGTAATAATTTATAATTTAAGCTTGTTACGTCACAATTTCGTGTGTTCTTATTCCGTTATCGCTCAAAAATATTCACGAATCGGGATAGTTGCATGATCGCTCTGCTGCAAGAGATAGGCAGCGTGGTTCGGGCATGTGGAAGTATTTTATTTAGAAAACCCGATTCCATTGTTCAACGTCATTTATGTGACAAATTTTCAGTGTTCATTGTGCAAATTCTACTTTGAGGTGTGAAGATGATTTGTAACTGAGATGTCGGTTGACGGCTAAAATAAATCGTAACCATCTGAAATCGGTTAACCAGTCCCAGCCCTAACTAACAGTAATAAATACAACAATAGGAGAAAAAATTGAGCAATATCGATTAAAAAAGTACCAATATATGTCTTGAAGACCTGATATAAAATAATAACGACGCCGAGCGCAGGCAAGTGAGTTAACCATGCAAACTAAAGTGTTTTGAAACTTACACAACGAAAATACTTTTACACTTACAAGTGAGTTTCCGAATGTGCATGTTTGGCAAAGCACGATGACAACTTGTGTAATCTTACACTCTTTTTCCACCCAAAAGTTTTCCCACACAGATCGCAAGAGTATGGTTTTTCACCAGTGTGTACAACGTTGTGCTGCTGCAGTTTAAATTTCTTCTCATACTTAGCTCCGCATATTTCACATGCAAAAGGTTTCTCCTTGAAAATATTTTGTCCCGTATGTGTTAGCATATGTCCGTTCAAGGATACTTTATAACCGAAGGATTTGCCACAAACTTCGCACGTAAAAGGTTTTTCCCCAGTGTGCACAACTCTGTGATTATTTAAAAATACTTCAAACATGAAGGTTTTCCCACAAACTTCGCAGGTAAATGGTCTTGGCTTGTAATTGTCCGGTTCCGCGTGCTTTCTGGCGTAATGCTTCTTTACATTAGACATTTCTCCGAAGTGTTTTCCACAGACACCACAGGGGTATTTTCTCTCTCCCTTATGTACCATTGATATATGTCTGGTCAAATGACCACTTTGAGTGAACTTCTTGTTACATATCTCACATTCGAATGGCCTGTCTCCTTTGTGAATAAGCATGTGTCTATTTAGAGCGTTTGGTGTGCTTAACACTTTCCCACATTCTTGGCAAACATGGCTTTTGCTCTCAGTGTACGTAGCAGTTTTCCTTTTTTTCACTCCATCTTCATTCTTTGAATTAAATGCTTTGCGTTTACTCGGCTTATCATGATCGATCTGCATATTTCAAAAAAGCCGGCGAAACGAGGGATTCAATGTAGTGTAGTAATAATATAACTGTAAAAATAGCAGATTAAAGCTTACGAAAATATAAAACTAAGTAGTATAATATAATAATAATTAAACAACCGAAATATAAATATATCGAATTTAATGCATGTAATCATGTAGCGTGAGTTTCAGCAGTTTAAATTTATTTGTTTTTAATTCCAGCGCATTGGAATTCCTTAGTCCCAGTAGCCATTTGCACAATATTGGTGGCCCGATCCCGACGCTTCTGACTAGGAGATCAATCTCATTTATTTGCGTACGCATGGATTTTCTTTGGCAATTTTTCTATTTATCTATGGCTAACTATTACCATCGACAAAGATTTGTGCCTTGATATGGTGCCTGGCTAAGACTTGGTCATTGTGGCGTGAATTACGACCAAATTGGAGAAACGCTATACTATGGGTACTATACTTGGGGTGTTAGGTTATCTCACACATCGGGCAAAATACATTCAATATACAGTCATCTTACCTCATCCTTGTTTATCTAGTTGGAATAAAGTGAAGTACAATGTATTCGACTATGAAGCGTGTGCTATCATTTATATCTGGTTACCGATACGTGCTGCACTTTTTTGATCTGATCAACTAAAGTTGATTATTGTCGGTACTTTTGCTGATTTCCAATCATTTCTAAGGTGTTCTCAGCGGAAACAAAACCATTTTGTTCCAAGCTTGCTCATTACTAACCCTACGCGACTCGACTAAACTTTTAGAAATTGAATACGCGAATCTGCGAACGAATTCGGAATAATTGCTACTTGGTGATTTGGCTTCAAATTGCCTCGGGCTTCTATCGGATTTGAAGTTGATTAAACGATCAATTTACCGAGGCGCTATATTCCATTGTTTATAGTTATATACCTACTTACTTACTAGTCGCTGATTGGCAGAGCTTACTGTTGCGATAATGCATATCAGCAGCATCTTGCGTAAGTATCATTACTTATGCCAACTATTTCAACTGCGGAGCCACGTCGCCAGTTAATGAAAGAATCGCTATGAAATGAATAAACATCTGATAGATCAACGTTGAATAAACACCGAGTTACTAATTATACGAATCTAGTTCGACCCCAAGAAAATAGTTCGAAACGCAATTCGTCTCGGTAGACTTGAGCCGTAAATCGCTGTTTCAAATCTCACAATTTGAATTCCAAGTCCATCGTGATGAAAAGTTAAAACAGCAAGGAATTTGAAACTTTCGATGTTTGTTCCATTCAGGGCACATAATCTTAATTTAATAAACTGTACTACAACAAGTCTCTGGCATTTTGGAATCACTCGTTTATTATTTACCATAATGAAAATACACTTTGCACAAACGGAATTTGTATTAAATAATAGCGTTGCATACTGACACCGTGATTCGTGCCCAATAGTAATAAATATAAGAATGGAAGAAAAAAGATATGAGCAAAAGAGCAATATTCGAATGTAAAAGTATCAAAGTATATCCTGGCGACCTGGCATAAACAGAAGTCGCATGTTACGCACAAATAACGACGCCGGGCGAAAGCCAATTAAGTAACCGTGGAAACAGAGGTTTACAAACAACACCTTGACTTCTCGCGCATGAAGTGTTGAGTGTACATGCTTGGCAATGCACAATGACAACTTGTGTGTTTTTATACTGCTTTTCCACTCAAAAGATTTCCCACACAGGTCGCAAGAGTGCGGTTTTGTGAATTCTGAATGTGCATGTTTGGCAAAGCATGATGATAACTTATGTTTTTTCACACTGCCTTTCCATCCATAGGATTTCCCACACAGGTTGCAAGGGTATGGGTGTTTCACCAGTGTGCACAACGCTGTGTCCCAGTAGTTTATCTTTCGTCTTGTACTTGGCTCCGCATATTTCACAGGCAAAGGGTCTCGTGGCAGGGGTTTGTCCCATGTGTGTCAGCATATGTTTGCTCAAACTATCTTTATAAGCCAACATTTTCCACAAATTTCGCAAGTATAAGGTTTTTCGCCGGTATACATAACACTGTGATTATTCAAATTCAACGCAGACCCAAGTATTTTTTCCACTAACTTCGCAGAAAAGTCGTCTCGGTCATTTATATATTATTTGCGCGGGTAAGGCAGCGGAATGATTCTCTACACATGACATATTTGCAAAGTATTTTCCACATACATCACAGGGGTATTTTTTCTCTCCCATATGTACAATTGGGCCCGGGTTCCAAATAGCGACTGTAAAAAAACAGCGACTTCATAATAGCGACGTAATCAAGTGAGCGTCAAAACTTCAAATTGCCTCGGGCTGCCTCTATTTGGTTTAAATTTGATTCAACTCTCGTTTTACGGGGTTTTATATTAAATAATCTTTTACATACATATATTAAAGTGGAAAATTTTGCATTAGCTAATTGGCAAAAGTTGGCCTCGTATATCAGCGTTAATGAGGCATTATATTTATGCAGGTTCTCATAATAGTCCGGCAGAATCGGGCCTTTACATTGTTTTGGGACAAAGTTTTTCTTATTGTTTAGATATAATGTATATGACATTTATAATGATACCCAGGTGGGTGTGGAGTATATAATGTTGAGCAATTTTTTTTAAGTGGATTTTAAGTATTCGGTCCAAGATGACGCACATCCTGAACCCTAACCTGGTAAACATACAATGTTCAGGTTGTGCGCCATCTTGGTACGAAAACTTCAAGAGCGCCTTTTTGTTAAAAACAATTATTTCATGACTACATGGTTTAGTTTTGCATACATAGTAACATTGAATCTACTTACAATGTCAGAAATTCAATTTTAGTAGAATAAATGGTAGTTTAGTAGTTTATTTCACTAATACAAGCCAAGATCCATCGACAGCATCTAGCCACTTTCTATTGCGCTCATCAAACTACATTTGCGTTGTCGCGCGCATTTCGTTTTCCTAGTTTGAGCTTAGGGATTTGGGAAATATTTTATTAATTGGATTGGAATATTTGACCTCGTCTTTAACTCCGAACAAGGCCATGTAAAACCATCCACTGGTATCTAAAGATGTGTAACATATTTCCTTTTGGAAGAACCGCAACCTTTCAGTGCTGCATTGACTTTGGAAAAATTAATATATCCTTGTGAAGATAGAAGGTATGCGAAACCGAGATGTGCACCTGTTATGCCAACATAGTTGAGTCAAAGTTTTGAATACTAGTACATCACACACATTTTCCTGCGTGCTTCGGTTGTACCTAGTAACGCGCACATTTTTGCGCACATGCATCAAATTCCACTTGATTATTGAGATATAGGTTTTTGACGAGCTTTTGTGTATAATTTCATTCCATAGAATTTGTATGCTGTTCTAAAGAATACTAGTTTCAGCTTTTTCATTCATTCAAACCGCGTGTTTAAAGTAAGTTTTGTAATATTGGGTGTTGGTTTCCAATATCCTTAAATCGGTGATGCCAGTAAATCTTTAATACAAAAAGATCAGTAAAGATCTACAATAAGATTATTTGATTGCATACTACTGAAAGTTCCGCCTTATATGTCTTTTCCCATTGCACTATTCCTTTACTGATATTCGATAATATGACGCTCATCTGACATAGTTCTCAAAGTGTGTAGATGGGTATAATCTTTTCCATGCTGTTCAGATGGGAATGCGCGAATATATATAAGAATTGCTAATATTGGTTTGCAATGCGATAAAATCCCACCTTGGCATTTCTGCCTCTCGCAATTGCTGCGTATACTTATTGGGGAAGTTCTGTGGCGTGGTTGTCAAATGAAAAAAAAAACATGGGAGTATTTTTTCTACTTCTCTACTACTATCAAACCTTGACATTTTGTGAAAACTTTTTTCCATGCAACCTTTTTATGTAAAACATCCCCAACAACCACAATTAATTCTGTTATTGAACTTTTGAAACAAACACATAAAATCATCAACAGATGCATATCACCAAGTAGATATTGCTGAATTGATCCTTATTTTATCATTTTTCATGTAATTTCTTTTGGTAAACCTGTTATCTTTCGTAAATACAGCACATTTGACAATGTTGTAGTGTGACTTTTTTGGCCTCACATATTTGATATTTGTAGTTAGAGCTCTTAGGGCTCTGTCAAACAAAGTTACATACAAAATATTGGTTGTAAATTGCAAAACATGATCATGTTGTTGGAATACCTTGGGCATTTTACCACCCGTATATCATTCATTGTTGAGACTTGAGAATATTAATAAAATTTAAAAATCCGTTTTTGTGAAATTTTTGTTGTAGCTGAATTCCAGGGACAGCATGACAACAGGCAAGAGAAGCACGACGCCTCTTTTAGTATATAATAACAATGTATTTTTATAGAAGAGAAGAAGCGAAAGTGTTGAGAGTCTTTGGTAGTTTGAAAAGCATTGACATGGAATATGAGAATGAACTACATTCTTTCCCAGGGATATACTATAAAATGTAGCAATTTCCTAATGCTTGTTCTCGTGATATCATTATCTTCCACTGCGTCGTCGTGATCATCCCGCTGCAAAACAATTCTCGCTAACAAATAATTGACTGTTCTACACAGGGCGTATATCCACTTGAACCACTGGCGACTGCATTAGCAGGCTTGTATTGTTAATTGCAACAAAAACGGGTATTTTGAAATAGTACTCTTTATTTTACGCGTATGTTTCGACAGTATTTCTATATACTGTATATGGGTCGCGACCCAAACTGGGCTCAACAAATACCTAAAAGTTATTGATTTTATTTCCTTGTAAATTTGGTGCTTGTGTAGTTTGTGCACCAAGATTGCGCACAACCTTAACATAGTATTGGAACAGGTTATGGTTCAGGTTGTGCGTCATTATGATGCACATGTTTGACGAAAAACACTAATACAAATATCGAGCCGTAAAAAAAATTGCTCAAGGCTGCAAACTCGACACCCATGTAGAAATAATGGGCAATGACCCCAAGATGAATAATCACAAATAAAAAAAACTTTATGTCTGAAATCAAACTTGGGCCAAAAAGGTCCCCTCATCTGCAGGACTATAATCTTTTCTTATCTCGATGCGCGATCACGCAACGTCGTTTAACCCAATATACCACAAATTGTCGGGATTCCGAAGAATGGCCGATAGGTCAATTTAAAAAAAACGAGTCACTCATTTAACAAATCGAGTCCGATCAAGCGTTCTAGACGGAATTCGCAAGACAGGATAAGTCATATTGCTTCTACTCCACTTGTTTTCCGTAAATGAGTTTTTCCTCTTCGGATAACACAAATCAGTTCTTTTATTTATTAACCATAATAAAACTATAGTTTATGGAAACATAATTAAAATGGAATAAAATAATACCATTTGATATTGAAAGGGCAGCCCGAAAAACAAAAATACCTTGATCAGAGATACTAGTAATTTCGGCCTAACTGTAATGAATACAAGAGTGGGAGAGAGAAAAAAATCGATGAATATTGATTGAAAATGTATCAAAATATGTCCCGAAGACCTGATATAAAACAAAAAAACAGCGGCGAGCGCAGTCAGGAGAAATAATAACCTTGAAAACAAGAATTTACTTTGACTTACACAACGTGTGAGTGTGTATGCTTTACAGTTCTGAATGTGCATGTTTTGCAAAGCAAAATGACAACTTGTGTACTTTTACACTCTTTTTCCACCCAAAAGTTTTCCCACACAGGTCACAAGAGTATGGTTTTACACCAGTGTGTACAACGCTGTGCTGTTTCAGTTTAAATTTCGTTTCATATTTGGCTCCGCATATTTCACATGCAAAAGATTTCTCCTTGACAATATTTTGTCCCGTATGTGTTAGCATATGTCTGTTCAATGATACTTTATAACCGAAGGATTTGCCACAAACTTCGCACGTATAAGGTTTTTCCCCGGTGTGTACAACTGTATGATTATTCAAATCAAATTCAGACCAAAAGGTCTTCCCACAAACTTTGCAAGTAAATGGTCTTGGCTTGTTATTGTCTGTTTCCGCGTGTATTCTAGCGAAATGTTTTTTTACAGTATACATTTCTGAGAAGTGTTTTCCACAGACATCACAGGGGTATTTTCTCTCTCGCATATGTACCATTGATATATGTCTGGTCAAATGACCACTTTGAGTGAACTTCTTGTTACATATCTCACATTCGAATGGCCTGTCTCCTTTGTGAATAAGCATGTGTTTCTTGAGATTGCTGCATGTGCTCAATACTTTCCCACATTCTTGGCAAACATGGCGTTTGCATTTAGTGTACTTTGTACGTTTCCTTTTTTTCACTCCATTTTTATTCTTCGAATTAAATGCTTCCCGTTGGCTCGGCTCATCTTGGTCGCTTTGCATGATTTTAAAAACCCAGGAAAATGTGCAAATTCAGTGTTAATTCCGAAGCTAAAATTTAAATGATAACTCGGTAATACAGCAAGTAGTGGGTACTGAAAAAGGAACATGTAATAATAATCAGTAATATTTAGAATAAAATATTATGACAACTAAATTTTTACGCACTTGTATACGATTCTTGAGTACTAGCAATAGGAATTGATATGTCGCCTATATATTAACAAAAATAATTTCTTACCATTACGAGACCGAAAAATCTCGGATTTTTATCGTGTTTAATTTTGATTCAACTCTCGCTTTACCGAGGCGCTATACGGTACTCTTCTAATAATATAACTATACAACTATTATTAATATACACACTAGTAACTAATGTATATTACCGTTTAGGGAGCAAAAAACACAGAAAATTTGTATATACCGATCGACGAAGTTGATTATAACACACAAGATCTTAAGGTTTATATAAAAATCGAAACATTATATGTTTGTAATTGTATTGTAGTATATCAAAGTATAAAGTTCAAGACGCATTCCACAGAAAAGCCGCAATTGCTGCTACAGCGAGTCACACAATTCGAATCCCAGCCCATTGTGATGGAGTACTCTTGATATGACCAAAGTCTATTGCTAGATAAATCACGCTTTCGTGTTTTTCTAATTATATATTGTGACTTCTCTACTTCTTACTGTATATATATGCACGTTAGTTTTCTAGCGAAGTTTTTCTCTTTAGAATTTCGAAGCATTAGCAAATTACATCGTTTTTCTTACATCGACTATATTCTAGGAGTCCTCAATATACCTGCTGTCAATCACAATGTCAAACCACTCTACTGCTTGTAAGATTAGTTTGTAGATTTGATGAGAAAGATGGAAGGAACTGCTTGGGAAAAAAATGGATTAAAGGAAATTGCTGATCGATAAAAAATCTGCGACTAGATAAACAAAAACGATCGTTATGTCCACTACGTGTCCAATAACCCATGCAGCTGGAGTTTGAATTCCCACTGTGATAGTAATAGGTCACACAAATTGAAACAAAAGAAGTGATTTAATAAGCACAATGACCTATCGGTTAAAGCGCCAGCCTAACTGTGCAGATTACACAATTGACAACCGTGCCCCCACCTCACACAGAGTGTAATAAACTAGGTGGGTAATACCGAACCGGAACGATTTCGGACCTTCCGAATGATAGCTGATCTTGATATGGCGTAAGATATCAGTAGGGACGTGTTCAGAGCGTGAAGTGTGTGTAGGTTACATAAGTCAGACGCCCGATCGATACACGTTCGTGCTTTTTGTCTGCTGGCACAAGTATTTCTACGTGTACCTTATTAATGATTTGCCAGTCTTTTCGATTTTCTCGAAATTTTTTTATTTTTATTTTTTTCGAGGAAATCAAAATAAACTTATACTCATAATAAGCGTTGTGGGAAAAATAAAAAAAGAATGTCGTCTGAGATGGCTGACAGTTGCCTAACCTAGTGGTTCCCAACCTTTCTACCCTCGCGGACCGGTAAAATTAAATAAAATGTACTCGCGGACCGACAAAAACTGAAATGTCCGTAACAGAAAAAGAATAGCATATTTTTGTGAATATAATTTAATGACGGGCACAAATATGCTTCTGGACAAAAAGGCACACTTTAAAACATTTAACACGGAGAAAAACGCGTAATGAAATACAGTGCTTACCACCCCTTTTGCGCGAGAAAGGCACACAAACAACATCTCACATAAAAAAAAATCGTGTACAAATACAATTAACTCTAGTGCTGGGAATTCGCTGCTGTTTCGTTTCCAATATAGGATTGCAAACGACGCCACGAATAAGTTTCTGCAACCATAGCTCTGCAGCGACGTGCGGCGAACTTCTTTGCTTCGTTTTAATTAGACCTAGTGATGAAAATATCTTTTGCAGAACGCAGTAACTTTCAAAATACGGACAACAATTTGATTGCTCGATTACTTAGCGATGTGTATTCGTTATCAAGAGATACCCAAAATTGAGACAGTGATTATTTTTTAAATCTGGACTGTAGTGTAGAATCAAAATTTTAATCAAGTTTTTACTTTTTCATCTGGTTTATCATATTTAACCCTCTGCAGTTGATCGACGCCTCAAACGAAATGAATTCACATTACAATGACAAAGTCGTCGGTAACTTGGCACCAGGGTCAATATCCTTCTGTGCCTGCCCAAAATATTAGAAGATCTCAGAGGCCTATGCTTTTTTGCGCGCCTCGTGACCACCTGCAGGGTCGCAACTAGGGCTGGACAAAATATTCGAATAGCGAATCGAATATTAATTTATTCGAATGTCATTTTACTATTCGAATATCGGGTACCACGTGATTTGCGTCGCTTCACTTGGACACAGAACGTCTCTGAACCGATCGTGAATTGCATGAACCAAACATAAATTTGTTTAATGAAAGTTAAAGTTGAATTAACTTTTGCGTGAAACCATACATAGTATAACACGAACAACTATGACCAGAAAAGAAATGGCAGAACATAGTTCTTTTAATGTACTTTCAAATAATTCTTTAGTGATCCCTTTCATTCTTGACCAAATAATGTTTCGAAAGTGTGGGGGCATGCATGGCGGGTGGAGTGTAGAAATCGTGAACAGGAGTATGGCGTAAAATCAATCGTGAATTTCGATGTAACAACGCGCACTGTCTCGTTTACGAATTGTTGTATCGTCGGAAATGATTTCATTCGTTATATTTTGAGCATTTCTGCACTAATAAATAGGGCGTGACATTGTCAAAATTGTCAAGAGAAGTAAAAGTGAATTCGCAAATTCCGTAAATAAAATTGTGAATTACTCGGTAACGATATTAGCTATAATGATCGCGCGGTTTGTTGAAAGAAAACGTCGGAACTTGGAAGAGTTAGTTATAATTAGCGCCTGGCACAAAAGTGAAAATAGGGCAATTTTTTTCAGCATTAGGTCGCATATGTAAATAAATATTCAAGTAGCGCTGTTTTTTAACATCATCTCGTCATGACCACGCAGGAATGCCTTTATTGTCGAATTATTTAGTCACTATTTAAAATAAACATTCGGGATTGACGCAATCTCAGCTTTGCGAAGTTTATCTGTAAAGTAACATAGACACCACAGAAAAGCATAGCAAAGTTAATTACGGTATTGTCTTATTAAATATCTACATCCCGGTATCGATAATAATATTACCGTTCGCTTAATATTGTGACGGTAAATTTACAAACGTTGATAAGTAATATGAAAGCCAACGCAAATGATAAAAATGAGAATAATATTAATTTGGGTTTTTACATAAATCCTTAATGATTTTAACAGCTGTTGCCGACGTGAACGCACGGGTAAACCCGAAATATAAACGTCGATGTCCGCCGACCCGAAATAATTAATACTTGCAAATAACAGAAAGGGCGGTATTATGGATTATATATCGCCGCAAAAACGGTTAGGGTGACTAAAACAATCAGCGATTATGACGAAATTAACCAGTAAAAAACGCTTTGTAGCCGATTTTTTAATCTCTGCATTAATTTCCAAAGGGAGTATCGACCGACGTTGTAGACCTCCTGTTGTGTATAAAAAAATATTCGTTATTCGACTATTCGGTATTCGTTAAAAATATTCGAACTATTCGATTCAAAAAAAAGATTCGATTTTTCCCACCCCTAGTCGCAACAAGTGCATATCTTACTGGAATATTATATTGTTCTTAACTGTTTCTGGTTTAAACGAAGAAATATGTGGAACGTTTCATATGGATGGTCATATTAATCAGGAAAAGCATGCAAAGCAGGAAAGAAGGCGCGTGCCAATTCGCTGGTTTCTGAATTTTGCGAGATTTGATGGGAGTGCATTCGCTGTGAATCGGGGCCGAAAAAGTGAAAAGTTTGATTACTCGGCGCCAAAACGCAACCTCGTCTTCGGTAAAACGATTGAGACGGCATGAAAACAACGAAATTTCTCGCCGACCGGCAAAAGCTTCAGCGGACCAGCACGGCGGTCGGTAAATACTGGTCTAACTCATACACGCTTCAATTAGGGTTTGACTATCGACAGGGAAACAGAATGAATAGATGCTCATTGCTTTCTTTAAGCATGTTTTCCATTATTTCTTTTTAACTTTCAAAAACTCAATCGCCCACGTGGAGTTGAATTTGGCTCTTATATCTACATTGAAAGATGCCGCCATATAATTGATAAATTAAGAATGACGTAATATCTTTCCATGAGTTAGCAAGTATATTTATAAGATTTCGTTAGATCCTATTCCAGCTTCTTCAGATCAAACTAGATATAAATGCAAAGATGAAAAATCATAAAAATGGCTATTTCAAGGTAATATAATATTTCACGAATTACGCTAGCGATGGTCTGTCTTCACTTCGCAGTCTTCTCAATCTTTTACGTTGATTACTTGTGGTTGCCGAGTTTTCAGTTTGTTTGTCCATAAACAGACGCTAGCAATTTACCGAAATTTTTCATAATAACTTAAATTGGCCATTATTATGATATTTCTGGTTTGTACTGATATACCCCTCTTTCTGAAAAACTTAGACTAATATCTAGCGAACGTTTACATATATACCTTCTTATTTGTAAATATCCGACATTCCTAAAGGCGGCGCCCGTAATAATAGGGATAGAGTATATACGTCGATCGTCGGCCTCGATGGCGCAGTAGGCAGCGCGTGAGTCTCATAATCTCAAGGTCGTGAGTTCGATCCTCACTCGAGGCATTGCTTTTATCTTGAGCATTGCTTTTATCTTAGCTCTTCTGGGGCTGGACATTTCAATTATAAAGCCCTGTGTTCTATCATGCGAAATTGTTGCATCATCGTCAACTAATTGACGACTGGGCATTGTTGCGGAAAAGTAAACAAGTCGATTCTCAAAGGAACGTCTATTGAGATAAGATAAAAGCAATAGCGAGAGGTATTTTGAAGATGTTTGCGATTTCCGTATTGATGCCGTGATAACCAGAATACGCTCGTGAATGAGACCTTTCCGGTCATTGAGTAAGATTTTCTAATACCCATCCACATTCAAGTGGATCCTGTGTGAGTTTATAATTTTTAAGTATCTGCTTTAAAACCTCGAGGAAATCGAAATATTTATCGACGAGCATTTATTTTGCTTCGAATAATGCGACTAATATAACCGGGGTTTGTGGGCATAAGCGGTCACGGTACCCTGCTCTGATGTACGTTATTATATTTCTTGTAACAGAACAAGTGATTGGTATAATAGTATATATAACTTAATATAAGAATAATGGACAAAACTTGTACGTTACATCCGCATGTAAACAACAAAACGAAAGGTGGATACATTGTCACCACACAAATAATATCAAATTGGAATAAGTTTCAAAAATGTACACATAATTGAAATTATTGATATCAATAAATCTACAAAAATAATTCTGGCAATAATAAAGTACGTCATCCCAAAATTTAGAATCTGAAGATACATAATAACAACCCTAGGTAGCTTGAAATTGGACGTTTATATCTTTGAGGTAATTAAAATACACTTCCTACGAACAGAATAAAAATAGCAGAGACGCAGGTGATGTACGCCCAACAATAATAAACACGAGAATATCGGTCAGAGATCGAAGACTTATCGATCTCCCAAAACAGCGCTCTTACTCCATAGTGACACTTTGTGTCCCATCACTAATTAATAAATTACTCGCTTATTATACGACATAATTAGCCCAAAATCAATAGGCTTATGGTCCAAGATATGATGAATGCACATGCAAAATCTGGAGCAGATTCAATCTCGCTTTCGTGAGATATCGAGTGCATCTAACAGACATACAGACAAATACCTACTAACATACTCACCGATTAAAATCGATAAGTAATAAGAGTGCAAGAGAATTGGGTCGAGCAATGATTATTGGAAAAATTAAAAAAAAAACAATGTCCGGCGACATGATACGGAAGTCACTTGTTAAACAAAAACAACTAGTCAGGACACTATTAAGTGAGGTAAGCACTAAAAACAAAAGTGACCTACGACTCTCGTAACGTACGGTATTTTGGGGATCATAAAGCTCACTTTAAATTCATTTTTGTCAAAAACGATAATGAGCCTGGTCTTATATGCCTGGTATATGTTTCAGATAGGGCTCCATTGCCGACACTCAAAACCAGCACCGGTATTGCTTTAACAATCGTGGTGTCTCATAGTCCAATGCACCTTACGTATGAATTAAAACCCGATCTCAGTGTGCTCAATCTTCGATAAATACTATGATAAAGTAGATGATTCAGGCTTACAAGTTGGGCGGCGCTAAACGTGCATGTTTGGCAATGCATGTCAACTTGTGTCTATATAGACTCCCTTTCCATCCGTAAGATTTCTCACAAAAGTCACAAGAGTATGGCTTTTCACCAGTGTGTACAACATTGTGTTCCCGCAGCTCACATTTTTTGTGATACTTAGCTCCGCATATTTCACAGGAAAAAAGTTTCTCAACGCGCTTTAGTCCCATGTGTACTAGCATATGTTGCGTCAAGGTTCCTTTATAAGCGAAGCATTTATCACAAATTTCGCAACTATAAGGTTTTTCTCCGGTGTGCACAACTCTGTGCTTATTCAAAACACTTTCAGATCGAAAGGTTTTTTCACAAACTTGGCAGGAAAATCGTTTAATGATTTCTTTTTTTATTGTTCCTGGTTCTGCATGCTTGTTGGCGTAATGCTTTCGTACGCAGGACATCTCCGGGAAGCCTTTTCCACATACATCACAAAAGCATTTTCTCTCTCCAGTATGTACCGTTGGTATATGCCTGATCAAATGATTTTGTTGAGTGAACCTCTTGTCACATATTTCACATTTATATGGCTTTTCTCCGCTGTGAATGCGAATATGTCTCGTGAGGTCGCTTGCTGTAGTAAATACTTTACCACATTCTTGGCAAACATGGCGTTTGCGTGAAATGTACCTTTTACGGTTTCTCCTTTTCACTCCACCTTTTATACCAACATCCAATAATTCACGTTTAATCGGTTTATTATGGTCGATCAGCATATTTTCAGAAGGTCTAATAAACTGGGACTCCATGTTAATGTCGAAGTAGTAATTATTATATACCGGTAACTGCGAAATATAGCAAATATTGGTTTATCAAGTAATAAGAATCAATAATACGATAAAACCCGCAGAATCATTGTAATAATGACACGTGAACATGAACCTAGTGTTTCAGTAACATCGTTTGGAAGACACTCAAGTAAGATCGTAGAATCCCATACCTAACTAACTTAACTTCTAACTCCGTTATAAAAACTGTGCCTTAATTGTACATGACTAATTTCGGTCAACACTTTGTTCTCTCAAATGGGCTATTTCATGTACTATATTACTTAGAGTGATACTTTATCTCATATATACATTCACTATAATCTTGTCCCGTATCTATTTAATCAAACTAGACTGAAATAATTTAAACAAGCATAAATATACATTCATAACGAGTGACACACGTCAACTGTTCTGAAATTGGTGAGGTGACTGAAGGTGCCAAACCACCCGGCACTGTGTATATAGCATGACGTTACGTCCTTTTTATTTCCTCGCAGAGTCAGATATGGTCTGTGACTTTTCCGTCATTGCTGAGATATTGTTCAACTTTGACTGCTCAATTCAAACATGATGATTACTAACTTTGTGGGACTTGACTAAACAAAACTCCTAATTTTATGAACTACTGATTCAAGATAGTTGATACTTGTTGACTTGGCTTCACAAATTGCCTCGGGCAGTGATATACTATGAGAATTGAAAATCCAGGGAAACAACCCGCGCTATAGTTATTGCATTACCTTGTATAACTTCAACACTCTGCAATCCTGTATTATCAGAATACATTCTGTAAGTACGTAATTATTCGACTGTATATAAAGAAGGGCTTCGTAGCATAATCTGGTAACTTATCTACTATACTCGAATGTTTTAGAACAAGAGAGGCTTGATAATTTATATAGGATTCGTTAAAACTGAAGACAGATAATGGACAACATACAAACTAGCGTAAAAGATAATGAGTTGAAAATGTGTATCAAATATTTCGCAAACACAAAGATAATTTTAATCAGTGATGATGACGCGGAGATAAGTTAAATCAGTGAACATAAGATCAATTTTAAGTTCGTTTCAAACTTTCCATATACTTTTCTAACAATGATTTGCGCCCAAATTACACATGTCGGGTTCAAATCTACGTCTACTGTGACTCAAGGTGTAATAAATTGGATGGACAATGCCCAACGGGTGAATTTCATTGGCTTGCGAAACAAATTACCGGTACGATAACTTGATACCAAACATATAGCCAAGATATTTGGTTTTACAGGAGCAATAAATCAGATTGCGAAGACGGTATTGTACATTATTCCACATTATTTAACCCCGGTATATTTTAAGATTGTTAAAAGTATTTTAAGATTGCGGAAAAGTAAACAAGTCGATTCTCAAAGGAACGTCTATTGAGATAAGATAAAAGCAATAGCGAGAGGTATTTTGAAGATGTTTGCGATTTCCGTATTGATGCCGTGATAACCAGAATACGCTCGTGAATGAGACCTTTCCGGTTATTGAGTAAGATTTTCTAATACCCATCCACATTCAAGTGGATCCTGTGTAAGTTTATAATTTTTAAGTATCTGCTTTAAAACCTCGAGGAAATCGAAATATTTATCGACGAGCATTTATTTTGCTTCGAATAATGCGAATAATATAACCGGGGTTTGTGGGCATAAGCGGTCACGGTACCCTGCTCTGATGTACGTTGTACGTTATTATATTTCTTGTAACAGAACAAGTGATTGGTATAATAGTATATATAACTTAATATAAGAATAATGGACAAAACTTGTACGTTACATCCGCATGTAAACAACAAAACGAAAGGTGGATACATTGTCACCACACAAATAATATCAAATTGGAATAAGTTTCAAAAATGTACACATAATTGAAATTATTGATATCAATAAATCGACAAAAATAATTCTGGCAATAATAAAGTACGTCATCCCAAAATTTAGAATCTGAAGATACATAATAACAACCCTAGGTAGCTTGAAATTGGACGTTTATATCTTTGAGGTAATTAAAATACACTTCCTACGAACAGAATAAAAATAGCAGAGACGCAGGTGATGTACGCCCAACAATAATAAACACGAGAATATCGGTCAGAGATCGAAGACTTATCGATCTCCCAAAACAGCGCTCTTACTCCATAGTGACACTTTGTGTCCCATCACTAATTAATAAATTACTCGCTTATTATACGACATAATTAGCCCAAAATCAATAGGCTTATGGTCCAAGATATGATGAATGCACATGCAAAATCTGGAGCAGATTCAATCTCGCTTTCGTGAGATATCGAGTGCATCTAACAGACATACATACAGACAAATACCTATTAACATACTCACCGATTAAAATCGATAAGTAATAAGAGTGCAAGAGAATTGGGTCGAGCAATGATTATTGGAAAAATTAAAAAAAAAACAATGTCCGGCGACATGATACGGAAGTCACTTGTTAAACAAAAACAACTAGTCAGGACACTATTAAGTGAGGTAAGCACTAAAAACAAAAGTGACCTACGACTCTCGTAACGTACGGTATTTTGGGGATCATAAAGCTCACTTTAAATTCATTTTTGTCAAAAACGATAATGAGCCTGGTCTTATATGCCTGGTATATGTTTCAGATAGGGCTCCATTGCCGACACTCAAAACCAGCACCGGTATTGCTTTAACAATCGTAGGGTCTCATAGTCCAATGCACCTTACGTATGAATTAAAACCCGATCTCAGTGTGCTCAATCTTCGATAAATACTATGATAAAGTAGATGATTCAGGCTTACAAGTTGGGCGGCGCTAAACGTGCATGTTTGGCAATGCATGTCAACTTGTGTCTATATAGACTCCCTTTCCATCCGTAAGATTTCTCACAAAAGTCACAAGAGTATGGCTTTTCACCAGTGTGTACAACATTGTGTTCCCGCAGCTCACATTTTTTGTGATACTTAGCTCCGCATATTTCACAGGAAAAAAGTTTCTCAACGCGCTTTAGTCCCATGTGTACTAGCATATGTTGCGTCAAGGTTCCTTTATAAGCGAAGCATTTATCACAAATTTCGCAACTATAAGGTTTTTCTCCGGTGTGCACAACTCTGTGCTTATTCAAAACACTTTCAGATCGAAAGGTTTTTTCACAAACTTGGCAGGAAAATCGTTTAATGATTTCTTTTTTTATTGTTCCTGGTTCTGCATGCTTGTTGGCGTAATGCTTTCGTACGCAGGACATCTCCGGGAAGCCTTTTCCACATACATCACAAAAGCATTTTCTCTCTCCAGTATGTACCGTTGGTATATGCCTGATCAAATGATTTTGTTGAGTGAACCTCTTGTCACATATTTCACATTTATATGGCTTTTCTCCGCTGTGAATGCGAATATGTCTCGTGAGGTCGCTTGCTGTAGTAAATACTTTACCACATTCTTGGCAAACATGGCGTTTGCGTGAAATGTACCTTTTACGGTTTCTCCTTTTCACTCCACCTTTTATACCAACATCCAATAATTCACGTTTAATCGGTTTATTATGGTCGATCAGCATATTTTCAGAAGGTCTAATAAACTGGGACTCCATGTTAATGTCGAAGTAGTAATTATTATATACCGGTAACTGCGAAATATAGCAAATATTGGTTTATCAAGTAATAAGAATCAATAATACGATAAAACCCGCAGAATCATTGTAATAATGACACGTGAACATGAACCTAGTGTTTCAGTAACATCGTTTGGAAGACACTCAAGTAAGATCGTAGAATCCCATACCTAACTAACTTAACTTCTAACTCCGTTATAAAAACTGTGCCTTAATTGTACATGACTAATTTCGGTCAACACTTTGTTCTCTCAAATGGGCTATTTCATGTACTATATTACTTAGAGTGATACTTTATCTCATATATACATTCACTATAATCTTGTCCCGTATCTATTTAATCAAACTAGACTGAAATAATTTAAACAAGCATAAATATACATTCATAACGAGTGACACACGTCAACTGTTCTGAAATTGGTGAGGTGACTGAAGGTGCCAAACCACCCGGCACTGTGTATATAGCATGACGTTACGTCCTTTTTATTTCCTCGCAGAGTCGGATATGGTCTGTGACTTTTCCGTCATTGCTGAGATATTGTTCAACTCTGACTGCTCAATTCAAACATGATGATTACTAACTTTATGAGACTTAACTAAACAAAACTCCTAATTTTATGAACTACTGATTCAAGATAGTTGATACTTGTTGACTTGGCTTCACAAATTGCCTCGGGCAGTGATATACTATGAGAATTGAAAATCCAGGGAAACAACCCGCGCTATAGTTATTGCATTACCTTGTATAACTTCAACACTCTGCAATCCTGTATTATCAGAATACATTCTGTAAGTACGTAATTATTCGACTGTATATAAAGAAGGGCTTCGTAGCATAATCTGGTAACTTATCTACTATACTCGAATGTTTTAGAACAAGAGAGGCTTGATAATTTATATAGGATTCGTTAAAACTGAAGACAGATAATGGACAACATACAAACTAGCGTAAAAGATAATGAGTTGAAAATGTGTATCAAATATTTCGCAAACACAAAGATAATTTTAATCAGTGATGATGACGCGGAGATAAGTTAAATCAGTGAACATAAGATCAATTTTAAGTTCGTTTCAAACTTTCCATATACTTTTCTAACAATGATTTGCGCCCAAATTACACATGTCGGGTTCAAATCTACGTCTACTGTGACTCAAGGTGTAATAAATTGGATGGACAATGCCCAACGGGTGAATTTCATTGGTTTGCGAAACAAATTACCGGTACCGATAACTTGATACCAAACATATAGCCAAGATATTTGGTTTTACAGGAGCAATAAATCAGATTGCGAAGACGGTATTGTACATTATTCCAAACTTTAACCCCGGTATATTTCAAGATTGTTCGGTTCAATTAGTATATATATTAACAAGGAAGCTATGCTCAAATATATGCACACGTAGCGCCACATCGTGGGAAATTTTGATAACGTCATGGAACACAAAAAACGAATCCCATACCTCTCACTGGAATATTTGAAATAAAAAAAAGCAATAGCCTTTTAGCAAAAAATTTAATTTTTGGGCACTGAAAATTTCAATCCGATTGGTCCAGTAATAAAAGGAAAAAGCAATTTTTTTCAATTACCAACAAGAACTAATAACAAAACGATCGTTATGTCCACTAACGTGTCCAATAATGACTGGTTATAAATAGAAGAATAAATCGTCTCGAGAAAGCGACAGCTGAAAGAAGTTCGAACCCGATAAAAGCCCGGGGCAATTTGAAACCGAAATAACAATTAGCAAATATCCTGACATCGGCTGGTAGATACGCGTTGAAGATGTCAGAGTTTAGCCGAGTTGGCTCAGTTAGTAGTCATCAAGCTTAAGTATAGTGAGGCTGAGACCCTTTGGAAAGGATGGAAAATTATCGATCAATCTTAAGCGCGGCGGTATGGTTCATCGTGCTAAGCGTTAGGAATACGCTCGCCACCGCATCTCTGATTACTCTGCGTGGGTTCGCAGGTTCGAGTCCCATGCAGGGGTTTCAATCCCATGCAGGGGTGGTTATGTGCGAGAGGATTGCTGACAATGTTCCCTCTAATTTTTTGTAGTATGTGTGCGCAGAAATTTTGGTGTGTGCGCACTTTTTTGGAAATGACTAATATTTGTGCAAAAACTAATGAAGAAATTTTGGCGTTCTAACCGTGTAATAAGTGGGCCAACAACAAACTTTTTCAACCTGCCAACCGAGCACATTGTTACATTACATCGAAATACGTCTGTGCGCAGTGAATCTATGCGTGTGCGCAGCCTCTGAAAGCTGTGTGCGCGCGCACACCTTAGAGGGAACACTGATTGCTGGACTCCTAGCCTACGTAGGATGGTTCACGTAACCGCTGGTCGGTTACGGCCTCATCGGGTCCATGCTTCCGAAAAAAAAACATGGTAAGTCGTGTTATAAGCTTTCCAAACTACTACTCTACGTGTAAATAAGACCTCATTACAGTGTATACCCGAGTAGTCGATAGACCCAGATTTCACATCAGTTCTGTAACAGTTGTCGTGAATAATCCTCAACTGGCAATCGTTGTTAAATGATTGTGCGAGCTCTGCAGCGAAATGCAGTTTATTTCGGTCTAGCTAAATCAAAAGGAAATATATTGAATGTATCTTGCCCGATGGGTGAGATAACCTAACACCCCAAGTATAGAACTTAGGTTATAGCGATTTTCCCATTTGGTCGTAATTCACGTCACATTGACCAAATCATCGACGATGGTAATAGTTAGCGATAGATTAATAGCGATTTTCCCATTCGGTCGTAATTCACGTCACATTGACCAAATCTTCGACGATGGTAATAGTTAGCCATAGATTAATGGAAAAATTGCCCAAAGAAAATTTAGGCTTACGCAAATAAATGAGATTAATATCTGAGTAAAGTCAGGAGCGTCGGGCTCGGGCTACCACTAATATGCCAATGGCTACTGGAACTAAGGAATTTCTGAAAAACAAATAATTCCAAACTGCTGAAAAATTTGAGCTGCGTGATAACGTGCATAAAATTCGTTATAGTTAATTTTTGTTTGTTTAATTACTATATTATAGTACGTAGTTTTATATTTTCATTAACTTTTATCTGCTATATTTACAGTTATATTATAATTACACAACAATGAATTCCCCGTTTCGCCGGTTTTTATTGAAATATGCGGATCGATCAAAATGAGCCTAACAAACACAAAGCATTTAATTCGAAGAATAAAGATGAAAAGGGGAAACGTGCAAAGCCCACTGAGAGCAAACGCCATGTTTGCCAAGAATGTGGGAAAGTATTAAGCACATGAGGCTCACTGAGTTTACACATACGCCTCCACAAAGGAGAAAAGCCTTTCAAATGTGAAATTTGTACAACACGCACGGCTTCATAACTGAAATATCCATCCCCAAAAGGGCAAAAAAAGCCTCGAGTGAGAATCGAACTCACGACCTTGAGATTATGAGACTCACGCGCTGGCTACTGCTATTTCTATTATGACGGGCACATTATTTAGAAATGCCGACTATTAATAAAAAAATATATATTGAAGTATGCATGTAAACGTTCGTCAGATCATAGTCTAACTTCTTCGGGAAAAACGGAATATCTCTACAAACCGGAAAATATCATATTTAAAGGTCAATTTAAGTTATTATGATAAATTTCGGTAAATTGCTCTTACGGACAAACAAACCGAAAACTCGGCAACCGAATGTAATCAAGGTAAATAGTTGATGAGAATGCGGAGTAAAGACAGACAGACCATCGCCAGCGTTTTTCTTTATTTACCTTAAAAAGACCATTTTTATGATTTTTCATCTTTGCATTTATATCTAGTTTTATCTGAAGAAGCTGGACTAGGATCTAACGAAATCTTACAAATATACCTCGCAGAGTCAGATACGGTCTGTGACTTTTCCGTCATTGCTGAGATATTGTTCAACTCTGACTGCTCAATTCAAACATGATGATTACTAATTTTGTGGGACTTGACTAAACAAAACTCCTAATTTTATGAACTACTGATTCAAGATAGTTGATACTTGTTGACTTGGCTTCACAAATTGCCTCGGGCAGTGATATACTATAAGAATTGAAGGAGCTCCCGAAGTATGCGAACCAAGATGGCGGACATCGGAATGTAATATGTGTACTAGGTTAGGGTTAGGCCATAATTTTAGGTATAAATACTACGGGGGGCTCTTGGCTAGTCTTCGAACTGATAATAGAATTAAAATAAGGAAAATTGGAAAAAAAATTATCGCCTAACCCTAACCTGTTACGTTCCGATGTCCGCCATCTTGGTTCGCATACTTCGGGAGCACCGAATTGAAAATCCAGGGAAACAACCCGCGCTATAGTTATTGCATTACCTTGTATAGCTTCAACACTATGCAATCCTGTATTATCAGAATACATTCTGTAAGTACGTAATTATTCGACTGTATATAAAGAAGGGCTTCGTAGCATAATCTGGTAACTTATCTACTATACTCGAATGTTTTAGAACAAGAGAGGCTTGATAATTTATATAGGATTCGTTAAAACTGAAGACAGATAATGGACAACATACAAACTAGCGTAAAAGATAATGAGTTGAAAATGTGTATCAAATATTTCGCAAACACGAAGATAATTTTAATCAGTGATGATGACGCGGAGATAAGTTAAATCAGTGAACATAAGATCAATTTTAAGTTCGTTTCAAACTTTCCATATACTTTTCTAACAATGATTTGCGCCCAAATTACACATGTCGGGTTCAAATCTACGTCTACTGTGACTCAAGGTGTAATAAATTGGATGGACAATGCCGAACGGGTGAATTTCATTGGCTTGCGAAACAAATTGCCGGTACCGATAACTTGATACCAAACATATAGCCAAGATATTTGGTTTTACAGGAGCAATAACTCAGATTGCGAAAACGGTATTGTACATTATTCCAAACTTTAACCCCGGTATATTTTAAGATTGTTCGGTTCAATTAGTATATATATCAACAAGGAAGCTATGCTCAAATATATGCACACGTAGCGCCATATCGTGGGAAATTTTGATGACGTCATGGAACACAAAAAACGAATCCCTCTCACTGGAATATTTGAAATAAATAAAAGCAATAGCCTTTTAGCAAAAAATTTAATTTTTGAGCACTGAAAATTTCAATCCGATTGGTCCAGTAATAAAAGAGAAAAGCAATTTTTTTCTGTGACAATTACCAACAAGAACTAATAACAAAACGATCGTTATGTCCACTAACGTGTCCAATAATATCTGGTTATAAATAGAAGAATAAATCGTCTCGAGAAAGCGACAGCTGAAAGAAGTTCGAACCCGATAAAAGCCCGGGGCAATTTGAAACCGAAATAACAATTAGCAAATATCCCGACATCGGTTGGTAGATACGCGTTGGAGATGTCAGAGTTTAGCCGAGTTGGCATGGTTAGTAATCATCAAGCTTAAGTATAGCGAGGCTGAGACCCTTGAGAAATGATGGAAAATTATCGATCAATCTTAAGCGCGGCGGTGTGGCTCATCGTGCTAAGCGTTAGGAATACGACGCCACCGCATCTCTGATTACTCTGCGTGGGTTCGCAGGTTCGAATCCCATGCAGGGGGTTTCAATTCCATGCAGGGGTGGTTATGTGCGAGAGGATTGCTGGACTCCTAGCCTACGTAAGATGGTTCACGTTACATCTGGTCGGTTACGGCCTCATCAGGTCCATGCTTCCGAAAAAAAAATAACTAACTAATCCCACACCCGACATGGAATAGTAAGTCATGTTATAGGCTTTCCAAACTACTACTCCACGTGTAAATAAAACCTCATTGCAGTGTATACCAGAGTGGTCGATAGAACCAGGTTTCACATCAGTTCTGTTACAGTTGTCGTGAATAATATTCAACGGCAATCGTTGTAAATGATTGTGCATGCTTTGCAGCGAAATGCAGTTTATTTCGGTCTAGCTAAATCAAAAGAAATTATATTGAATGTATCTTGTATGTGTGAGATAACCTAACACCCAAGTGTAGTACTTAGGTTATAGCGAGTTCCCCATTTGGTCGTAATTCACTTCACATTGACCAAATCTTCCACGATGGTAATAGTTAGTCATAGATTAATAGGAAAATTGCTCAAAGAAAATTTAGGCTTACGCAAATAAATGAGATTAATCTTTGAGTAAAGTCAGAAGCGTCGGGCTCGGGCTACCACTAATATGCCAATGGCTACTGGAACTAAGGAATTTCTGAAAAATAAATAATTCCAAACTGCTGAAACTTGAGCTGCGTGATAACGTGCATAAAATTCGTTATAGTTAATTTTTGTTTGTTTAATTACTATATTATAGTACGTAGTTTTATATTTTCATTAACTTTTATCTGCTATATTTACAGTTATATTATAATTACACAACAATGAATTCCCCGTTTCGCTGGTTTTTATTGAAATATGCAGATCGATCAAGATGAGCCTAACAAACACAAAGCATTTAATTCGAAGAATAAAGATGGAGTAAAAAGGAGAAACGTGCAAGGCACACTGAGAGCAAACGCCATGTTTGCCAAGAATGTGGGAAAGTATTAAGCACATGAGGCTCACTGAGTTTACACATACGCCTCAACAAAGGAGAAAAGCCTTTCAAATGTGAAATTTGTACAACACGCACGGCTTCATAACTGAAATATCCATCCCCAAAAGGGCAAAAAAAAAACCTCGAGTGAGAATCGAACTCACGACCTCGAGATAATGAGACTCACGCGCTGCCTACTGCTATTTCTGTTATGACGGGCGCATTATTTAGAAATGCCGACTGTTAATAAAAAAATATATATTGAAGTATACATGTAAACGTCCGTCAGATCATAGTCTAACTTCTTCGGGAAAAACGGAATATCTCTACAAACCAGAAAATATCATATTTAAAGGTCAATTTAAGTTATTATGATAAATTTCGGTAAATTGCTTTTATGGACAAACAAACCGAAAACTCGGCAACCGCATGTAATCAAGGAATAGTTGAGGAGAATGCGGAGTAAAGACAGACAGACCATCGCTAGCGTTTTTCTTTATTTACCTTAAAAAGACCGTTTTTATGATTTTTCATATTTGCATTTATATCTAGGTTTATCAGAAGAAGCTGGACTAGGATCTAACAAAATCTTACAAATATACTTGCTAGTTCATGGAAAGATAATACGCCTTTTTTAATTATCTTGATTTATCAATTATATGGCGACATCTTTCAATGCAGATATAAGAGCCAAATTCAATACCACGTGGGAGGGGCGATTGATTTGAAAGTTAAAGAGAAATATCAGCAAACAGGTTCTCAGAGAAAGCAATGGGCATTTATTAATTCTGTTTCTCTGTCGATAGCAGGACCATAATTGAAGCATGTAAAAGTTAGACAACTGTTCGATTTTTTTTTCATTTTTGGACACGTCAATTAACATAACAACCGATTCAATATTATGTTCTTGTTAGTATTATTCTTCTCTTTCGTCCTGATGAAATCGCTTTTCTCTTCGAATACTGAACCAATTGCTTTGAAAATTTCAGTGGTTAATTAAAGATTGATTTTTTTGCCAGAAGGCATTACTTTAACTTATTCCAAAAATTTCTGTGGACTTCAAGAGATTCGTTTTTTATGTTTCAGAATAAAAAATAGCGACACCTTGTGACGTGTCCATATATTCGAGCACAGCTCTCTTGTTCATACAACGGTTATTGCCGGACACGTAGTGGACCTATAGATCTTTTGCATTCTTTTGGACACCTAGCGGGAAACAAAAGAGTCGCTTTTCTCTTTGATTACTGGACTTTCAGTGGCGAAAGATGGAATTTTTCTCTAGAAGGCTATTACATTTATGTTTTTTAAATATTTTTTTTAGCTCCGTGGAATTTCCAATTTTGTTTGCTGCGACTTCACCGAAAGTGGCGCACATCAGATGATTTCGTGTTCGGCGTTTACCGGTGGATCTGGTGCTTAGCGACGTGGACTGTGGGACCTGAGATGGTAATATAGAAGTGACCCCGATAAAGATACTGGAAAGTCACCGCATATGATTTTCGAAAATTGTCGAAATGCTTTGCGTATCCATATATTTGAGCATAGGTCTTTTGTTATAAGTATAAAGTTTATATTGATTTCTTCGAAGAAAACAAAACACACAAAATTTTGGGAAAATCGGGAACTGACAAAACCATTAATAAAGTTTATGTTTAATTCACTTGGAAGAACTACTTGTATCAGCAAACATGAAGGCATAGAAAAAGCACGAACGTGTATCGATCGGGCGTCTGACTTATGTAACAAACACACACGTCACTCTTCTCGCTCTGAACACGTCCCTACTGTTTTCTTACGCCATATCAGGATCTGCTATCGTTCGGAAGGGCCGAAATCGTTCCGGATCGGTATTACCCAAAGCGTATATATAATACAAACGAGGCAACGCTCCGACAATGGACGCCATCTTGTGCCTATTGTTCTCGGCCATCTAAAACGGCGTCTTATGGGAAGTTTGCACACAATTATTGAAACATATCTATTATTTTCACTGATATTTTAGGAAGAAAAATTTTGAAGGTCGCGTTCTGAAGGAGAATCTCAGGTTAACATTTTTTGTCCGCCAAGCTCATTAATGTCCTACTGCTCATTTCCAAGCTGTACTAGAAGAACAAATGACATCGTGGGATTGTTGTGGAGGCATTATTCAGCGTCAAATTGGTGCAACACTATAAAATCTTCGAAAAAATGACCAAAAATGGTTCTACGTTGTGTTTGTGGTCAAATTTAACGCATTAGATAGTTTTTATGCCTAATATCGTTAGATATTTATGTAGCATATAGCTTAACGTTCAAAACCCACCTTTCGGCTTCATTCTAGCCCTTATAACAACTGACTTATTCGATTCGGTGTAACAACACGACGAAAATTTCCCATAAGACTCCATTGTTTCTAAAATATGGCACAAAAGAGCGTCCATGAACTAGTTTGACATTAGGCAAGTTGGTTGCCGGCCCTTGGTATTACCCACCTAATTTATTACACTCTGTGTGAGGTGGGGGCACGGTGGTCAATTGTGTAGTCTTACAGCTAGGCTGGCGCTTTAACCGATAGGCCATTGTGCTTATTAAATCAGTCCTTTTGTATCAATTTGTGTGACCTATTACTATCACAGTGGGAATTCAAACTCCAGCTGCAAGGCTTATTGTTTATTATTGATTATCTCGCGGTTATCACAGATTTCGTATTAATCAGCAATTTCCTTTAAACTATTACTTCCCGAGCATTTCCATCTTTCTCATCAAATCTACAAAATAATCTTACAAGCAGTAAGATGTACAAGCAATAAGAGTGGTTTGACATTGTGATTGACTGACAGCAGGTATATTTATATTGAGGACATATAGAATATAGTCGATGTAAGAAAAACGATGTAATTTGCCAATGCTGCGAAATTCTGAAGAGAAAAACTTTTCCAGAAGACTAGCCTACGTATACAATACGAAGTAGAGAAGTCGGAATATATAATCAGAAAAATACGATAGTGTGATTTATAAGGCAATAGATATTATGGGGTGTACTAGTAGGGTATTGTGTACTGAATTGCCAGTGCTTTCTCCTTGTTTATTCTACTCCGTAATTGTATGTGTAAGGTTGCCACAAGGATGTTTGAACGATATAGTATTATAAAGATAAATAGGAATAACATATTCTCTCTCAACGAAATATCCAGTATATTTTCGATGATTCCCAGTAAGTCTGAAGAAGTTTGTACATGATCTACCGAACGCTCAGAAATATACTTGATATTTCGTGGAAAGAGATTATGTTATTTTTATTTAGGAATAGAAATTAGACATCGTAAAAGTATCTTATTGCGGTGGACTGGGATTCGAATTACGTGACTCTGTGCAGCGGCGATGTGGCTTGGGGATATTCTGCGGTACGATTAATAATAGTTGTATTGTTATATAATTAGAAGAGTATAGCGCCTCGGTAAATGGAGAGTTGAATCAACTTTAAACACGATAAAAAACCGAGATCATTCAAAAGTAGCGAATATTCCGACATGTATGTTTATTTGTCTCGCAATGGTAAGGAATTATAGAATTGGTCGCTTTTTCAATTGTTTTAGGAGTTTAGTCAAGTCACGGGAGGTTGGTAATCAACAACGAGCTTGATTCTGGCTCCGTTACAATTTGAGAAAAAATGCATCGATCATATTTTATCAGGAGAGTAGATCAATTTTTGTCACGCTATATACACCGAGTCTCCCGTACACCGTACTCCCGAGTCTATCTTCACTTGCAGCCCTTCGGTGATTTGAATAACCAACCCCTCAGTTTTGGTATTAGTTTCAAACTAGTTAGTGTGAATAATGTTTAAGACGTAACTCGTTATAATAGGATTGTGCATACTTGGTAACAACTTGTAGATTGTTTTATTTCAGTCTGGCTAGATTAAACAGTTCCTATTGCTAATACCCAAAATTAGCGTAAAAATTTCGATGTCATGGTATATATTTTTTAACATATTATAATTTTTAAAACCTGCTCCTTTTTCAGAAACCGCAATCTTTTCTATTTCCGATATATAATACAATTTCTGCTTCGACATTACCACTGAATTTCCGCATTTCCTGCGTTTTTAAAAATATGCAGATCGGCCAAGATGAGCCGAGCAAACGCGAAGCATTTAATTCAAAGAATGAAGATGGAGTGAAAAAGGGGAAACGTGGAAAGCACACTGAATGCAAACGCCATGTTTGCCAAGAATGTGGGAAAGTATTAAGCACATCAAACGCACTCAGATTACACACACGTCTTCACAAAGAAGAAAGGTCATTCGAATGTGAAATATGTAACAAGAAGTTCACTCAAAAAGGTCATTTGACCAGGCATATATCGATGGTACATATGGGAGAGAGAAAATACCCCTGTGATGTCTGTGGAAAACGCTTCGCGGAAAAGTCTAATATAAAGAAGCATTACGCCAAAAAACACGCGGAACCAGGAACAATAAAAAAAGCAGACAATAACAAGCCAAGGCCATTTACCTGCGAAGTTTGTGGAAAAACCTTTGTGTTTGAATTAGTTTTGAATAATCACAGAGTTGTGCACACCGGGGAAAAACCTTATACATGCGAAGTCTGTGGCAAATGCTTCGGTTATAAAGTATCCTTGAACAAACATATGCAAACACACGCGGGACAAAATCTTGTCAAAGAGAGACCTTTTGCCTGTGAACTATGCGGTGCCAAGTATGCAAAGAAAAATGAACTGCGACAACACAGCGTTGTACACACTGGTGAAAAACCATACTCTTGCGATTTATGCGGGAAAACTTATGGGTGGAAAAAAAGTGTAAAAATACACAAGTTGTCATCGTGCTTTGCCAAGCATGCAGATTCAGAAACTCACTTATGAGTGTTATAAGTGCATTTATGTTGTGCAAGTCTCAGATCACTTTCGTTTGCATGGTTATCTCACTTGGTGTCGTTTTTGTTTTATATCAGGCCTTCGGGACATGCGTTGATACTTGTTCAATCAGAGCGCTAGATTTTTTTCTCCCACTTTTGTATTTATTACTGTTATCACCAGTGTCTCCGCTCCAATTATTATTGTTTTTTTTTGGCCCCTTCTCAAATATGAAATGGTATTTTTTACTCTATTTTATATTTTTGTTTGTACAAAATGTCTTTTCATTATGTTAATAAATAAACGATTGTCTTCAAAATTTCGTCTCGAACTTCAAACATTAGTTCGGACTCTACTCTATCAAGGCTCTTTCAAAATTGACCTGTCGGTTGTTCTTCGGAATCCTGACAAATTGTGGAATAAAACGATATGGCGTGGTCGCCCTTTTAAATAGGTCAAGGCAATACCGAGATAGCCTACATGGATAATAATGCCTCATTGCCGCTAATATACAATATGATAAGGCTAACTTTTGCCAATTAGCTAAATCAACATTTCCCGCCTAGTTACCAATCCTGGTGATAACAGTACCAGCTAACCAACTATTGACTCACATTATGAATTATCCTAATCCTACCAGTAGAGTTAAATTCTACAGGTCCTATTTCTACTTGTTTGGTGGTGTTGTCAATCAACTTCAGTAACAACTTTTGACACAGTAGTAAAACACACATAAGCACATTCAAACCTGCATGAAACGTTGTAATGAAAGTTCATATAAAATATATACAATTAACAATCCGGTGAATTCCAGTTAAATGAAATTTCCACATATCGGTAGTTCAATACAGTGAAAATGTGTGGTAGTGTTTTATGTTTACAATATAATTGTGTCTCCGGCCCAACAACAGTACAATCTAGCTGCAAGACAGAAAACAATTAAACATTAAGATTAGCTTCACCTACGACATTTACCTAGAACGTCAATTATTAGATGACTCTAAACTGCAAAACTTTCCTAGAATACCCAGGCAACCATGTACAAAACTCATCGGAATTACTAGTCAATCAATACGCTTACAAGCTGGTCCAGTCTACGTGTTCAAAAACATTACTTTTATGGAAATTATTCACCAACGTAACACTATAGTTCTGATAGATAATTTTACCCTAGTCTATTTTGAATATTGCAACTGAACTTTAGCTTTTCCTAAGGCATATTGATAGTTTAGTTCAGTGGTTAGGATATGATTTACATATTTATCCCGGGGGAGAAGAAAGCCGATAAGACGGCTTATCCATATGGCGAACCACGGCCTCTCGTCCGGTTACCATTCCAAGTCGGGTATGGGATTAGTTATATTGTTTGTTTTCGGAAGCATGGACTTGGTGGTGGAGGAAGCCGTAACCGACCAGCGGTTACGTGAACCACCCAACGACGGCGAGGAGTCCAGCAATCCTCTCGCACATAACCATCCCTGCATGGGATTCGAACCCAATGCAGAGTAATTAGAGGTGCGGTGGCGAGCGTATTCCTAACGCTCAGCCCGATGAGCCACACCGCCGCGCCTCGGTTCTCAAACTTTCCTTTCTCTCTGGGCACTAAGCAAATAAAATAAAAATTTGCGGCACATTTGTAAAAAAAATATAGTTGCATTAAACAAAATAATTCTGCAAATGTTAACGCGATGTGTGTGCCTGTTTTGGGGAACAATTGAGACGAGGTTCCACCGCTCCCTTTTTTGCTTTTGATTTCAGTTATAGCAGAATATCCGTGTTCACAGAGCCATGCGAATAGATAGATTATTTTGATGTTTTTTCCATTGATAAATGAGTTGAATTTGTAAGCAGATAGCCAAAACTCGTTCGAATTTGCTTTTCTGTTAACCTAAATAGGCGCGACAGTCAACATGATGGAGGTGGAAGCCTCGTTTACAAATACATTATAATAATATAATTATAACGTGACAATCACCCTTACTACAACGACAGCGCAATAATATTTATAATGAATAGCGCGCACTCAAGTCCCGCAAGCTCGCCCGTTGCATTGGTGCTTATGTGTAATACGGTTCCCGTACATTCGAACCAACGTACATTTAAACCCACGACAATTGCATCTGCATACTATTGCACTCATGGAATTTTTTGATTCGTTTTGCGGATATACGGCTTAACCATGCAGTTCGCTATATGTGTAAGCCGTCTTATCGGCTTTTCTCTCCCCCGGGATAAATATGTAAATCCTTATTTGTACCCATACTAACCCCCAACCGATGGGATTTAAAACCCGCGTATATACACATGGGTTCAAATGTACGGTCACCGTGTAATACGAATAGCTTATTTTCTAAAATTCCCAAAAGCTCCGCGGTACACCTGAGCATCTCTCGCGGCATGCAATTTGAGAAACACTGATTTAGCTATTTATTTGATTTACAACTTTTTTTCAGAAATGCAACCGAAACTGACAAATATCATGCAAAACCACAAAATCGAGGCAACGTTTGCAACCATCCTTGATTATGAGTTTGATTAGCTGCATAAATTGCAGTCATTTCCTCGTCGTTAACTTTTTCCTGATTAGTCATGGTTACGGAAATAAACAAGGAAATCGATGCCCTGGGAATAGGCTTGCACGTAATTTACGGAATTACGTAATTATTTGGAGTTACGGAAGGGAAGTTACGAATTACGTAAAGTCGTAATTATTGCATTGAAACGAGCTTTCTTCAAAGCAGTCAATTTCATCGATTGCGAAAAATGAAAGCTCAACAAGTAGAAGAAGTTGGAGTTCCGGTATTCGCAGCCGTTTTTCTCTCTTTTCTCTCTCTTGTTACGTAGGTGAAGGAAGGCATGACGCGTTGCCATTTACTAACCTATTATCAACTTATCTGGCATGGCCAATGTAAATTATTAACGTAGTCAAGGGGGAAGAACTGAGTAGGGCCGTTTGACCCCAACTTAACCGTAGATAAGGGATAGAATTGCGTTGAGACCGATTGACGCCAACACACCTGGTTTCCACTTCTCTCGCATCTTATCTAGCATGGCCATGGCCAATGTACATAATAACCGTAGATAGGGGGAAGAATTGTGTTAAGACCGATGGACGCTAACACGCCCGGTTTTAACTTCTTCGGGTGAAATGACTAATGAACGCAGGAGATCAATCTATCAAACATCGTCTATCAAACATTTGTATCCATTTTACTTTTATTTATTATTTACTTGTTCCAGTTTTCCGTTACTTAAGGTATATATGTTCCGTTTCTATTTTATAGTCCCGCGTTTAAATAGTGGGAATTCCCCACCAAGTGTGGATTAGCAATGCTTAACCATTCTTTATTGTTAATATCAACACTTGATATATGAACATGGAATATCATACTGTTTTTGGCTGTTTTATTTCAGACTTGGGGTATAAACAGGAAAATATCCATAACCTTTCAACACAACGATCTTGTAAAATTTAACGAAGAGCTTTCGCGACGAACTAGAACCAAATAAGCGAAAAGAGCGATTGATCTCGCGCCAATACCTCGCCGTGATAATTAATGTCGCGCTTATCAAATAGCAATATGACGACAAAAGAGAGATTGCGTAATGAACCAACGCAACTTCGTCTTTTCGGCATCGGTAAAGCGATCGAGACGCAGAGAAACAACAAAACGACGGATTCCTCGCGGATCGCTAAAAATTTAACTGCTATCATATATAATCAAATATGAGCCAGTGTGTTTATTCTGTGCGAGATCCATTTTCTATTACAAAATCTTGATGTTCTGTTAACGGTTTTATCGTTATATATCAGTCCGGACTTGGCCTTGCTCATGATGTTTTTCACAATTCTTCGCAATATTTCGGCCATATATGATTAACTGTCTTACCAAATGCGGCAACTTATTTTAATTTATCGTCGACTTGAATACCACCGGCACTCGACCAAACTTGTGTCAATCTTGGCCGATAGGATCGTCGACTTGAGTTAGCAAATAAATGTCGTGAGTGTAAAATAAATGTCACAAAATGCATTGTTTTGCGATATAACTTTGTATTTTCGGAGAAGGCATATCATATAAGTTCGGTATTTAAATTATACGCAAATAAATAATATTTGATCTAAATTTATCGCAAATAATGTTATAAACATTCAGTCCGCGAAATGATTAAATGTAAAATGAAGCATGGTAATCGGAATATCGTCAATAAGTCGACATCAATAATTATGATTATAAAATGCTAACAAGGCAGTAATGTCGGATAATGCAGAAAATGCTGCAAAAACAAGTCTTCGTCGCGAGGAAATCGCAAGTATAATTAAACGGGAGAATACGCTCGTCGTTGGTTAGGTAATAAATTAGAAACCCGTAATTTTTATTCAGTACGGAAGTCGATTTTAAAAAACTATCGTTTCCATAAATATCCGTATACCAGTGTCGGTAATGATAAAATTGATCGCATAAAAATGGGACGGTTAATTTGCGAAGGTGATAAAGGAAAACCAAAGCTAACACAAAGGATAAAAATCAGAATAAAATTAATTTAATTCACTCCTTGATATTTGTCTTTAACATCTGCCGCCGGCGTGTAGTACTGCCAAGAATATGAAAACCCAATTTCAATGTCCCATTCGGAAAAGAAGTGGATTCAATTGGTGGTTATGATAGGTATAATGCGTGGAAAAATATCGCAATTACGGGTCATTACGTAATTGATTTTGCCGTTATTACGGAATTGATTTTTGTTAATTACGTGCAAGCCTACCGGCTGGGAAACATCCCACAGACACCCGATTTATTAAACGATTCATTAGAGGAGGTAAAGAGCCGAATCTCATCGCGAGAGTAGTTTCACCTTTATAGTTTCACAAGTAAAGGTGGGTCCGCTATCCAGCGTATTCCTCGCGAGATTTCTGAACTCTGTATTATATTCCATGTTGTATTGTCTCTATTTATTGATGTTGTCTTGTCCTACCAACTCCTTTGTACAAACAGTTGGGCATACTCCACCGTTACCCATGTTGCCTAATCCACCCTCCTCGCACAACTGTCTGTATGAAGGACCATATTATACTTATTCGATTTATTGCATTTTATTGGACACGTAGTGGACATAACGATCGTTTCAATATTATGTTGTTCTTGTTCTTTGACACGTTTTTAAAAAGTCGCTTTTCTCTTTGATTACTGGACTAATTGCTTTGAAATTTTCAGTGGTTGAAGATGAAATTTTTCTCCAGAAGGCTATTACTTTTATTTATTTCAAATATTTCTGTTAGCTCTGTAAGATTTGTTTTTGTTTGCTATGACGTCACTAAACGTTCTGAGGATATCGGACGCCATTTTGTGTCCAACGGACCATCTTGCAATTTCAATTCACGCTGTCACAAGACAGGACCTTCTGAAGATAGAGAAGTTCTGGTACCGTAACACAGCGCGGTGACACTGAACTAACTCGTAGCTGTCAAAAGCTTGAAAATCCATACAAATATGAGAAATAAAAAGATGAAACTTGGCAGGTGGGTAGAGTTGTGTTTCTTTTAACCATATTTGAAAGTTTCGCGTTTCTACATTTGAAGGAGGGGGAATAGGGGGTGTGCATTTCCGATACGTCGATAATATCTTTGTCAACCAATTTGCGGCCACCGTGTTTTCGTCTGTTTGATTGCTGTGATGTGGTGCTTTGTTTATAATTTAACGAGTTTTGTTCGAAATAACCGTGTTCTTGAAATATATGACGGTCAGAAATGCAATTAGAAGCCCAATGTTTTCACGCTGTCACAAGACCAACAATTGTCAATCAATTTGCGACCACCGTGTTTTGTCTGTTTGATTGCAGTATGGCTGCGTATGCGATAGTCTCGACGCAGCATAAACGATGATCAAGGCTTGAAATCCGTGGTCGCACACTGGTCGTTCGGTCGCAAGTACGTCTTTCGAGTGCCGTACTTTAGGGATTTGTATAGCTTCAACCCTTTGTAGTAGAAAGTTAATACGAGGTTTAGCGTGTAGAATAAATGCCGCCAATGCACCCACGGTGAAAAAATTAACGGGTTAGATATATTGGTTTTTGTTTTATAGCGGTTTGAATGAAGTTGTCCGCAGACTGGCTACACCACCCTAGGCCTGGTGAGTTGTCCGTGTAGTCGAATTGTCCATCAGCCCTAAACGGCTATGACAGTCACTGTACCAAAAATTGTACCCCGATTCGGCTGGTGGTAAGTTGACGCATGTTATTTAGTAACGTTTTTATGTGAAATGTTTGACTGTGGTTCGGTACCTGATCCGATAATACGGTACATAATTGACTCATATCACGAGATATTTCAACTGATGTTTCAATTGTCACAGGACCTAAAATATCTATGACAGTCCCTGTACCGTCACGATACAGGTACTGGTAAGTCACCGCCGGTATGTTAGTCGTTGGTCACCGCATATGATTTTTGGGGAATTGTTCTGCGTGTCCATATATTTGAGCATTGCTCTCTTGTATCTAGATCTAGATGTTTTTTTCAAGATCTGGATGTAAAATTTGGAGCCTAGATGTTAGCTATAAAATCTAGATATATTTTTTTCAAGGTTCTAAATATTATTCAGTGGGAAATAAATAAAGAGATGTGTGTAATACTGTAATAGGTGAATGAATATTATTGGACACGTAGTGGACATAACGATCGTTTCAATATTATGTTGTTGTTGTTGTTCTTTGACACGTTTTTAAAAAGTCGCTTTTCTCTTCGAATACTGGACCAATTGCTTTGAAATTTTCAGTGGTTAAAGATGAAAATTTTCTCCAGAAGGCTATTACTTTTTTTTTTCGCTATGACGTCATCAAAATTATGTGACTCTACGTGTCCATATATTTGAGCATAGCTCTCTTGTGCTTATCATAAGGGGTGTATGCCGCACGTTCATGTGTTTTAGGCCAGTATGGTCGTGTGTATACATCCCGTCTTCAATGTTGATATTTACTAACTCCTGTGTTTTTGCTTTTACGAGACGAATAAACATACATACATACATCTACATGACCTTATTACAGATCAGTCGCCGCGAGCTATTTTGAAGATTTTAGTCGATCGCAGTCCAGCAGTCGCTAGTTAGGTTGGCCACCCCTGCACAGCAATGTCTGGATGTAGGCATTTGCGATTTGTTTATTCTTTCTAGTTCAGTTATAGATATTTTCCATATTTATACAGTTGTGTGGACGTGAAGGGCAGTCAAGTTCTCACACAATAAGAATAATATAACATACCGGTAAGCTCCTAAATCCTACATCAGTACATGCTGCCAAAAAAGGTCAGACAATGACAGGAATGACTGAATGAGACATGGTTTTGTTGGTTACTACCGCTACTGTTCGATACCAAACCAATACTTGTTTGAGATCGCACTTGTATATTTTGTATTTAAAGCTGTAGTCTTCCATACTGAGCATAAAAGATCGACAGTTTTAAAATTTCAAATATAGAAAAATTAGTGGCACAATCATGCAGTCACACCAGCACCATGGCAGCTAAGATTGGAAATTGGCAGTGAACTGCAGAATTGTGAGACTTTAAAAAGTCCATGAATAAGAAATGCTTGGATGTGTTGTAAACGGAGTACCGTAGACTATGAGATGAGCCTGCGACAGTGCGAACCAAACAACAAGATATAAATTACAGTAGTTGAAACACAAATAAAACTGTTTGTAGTCGGGTAGGTTTTTCCAACCTGTTGTTTCATACTGTCATAACAGACTTTTCAGATGACCAGGTTGAATATGACAGTTTGAGTTAAGAGTTTTCCAGTTCTTTCGAAGTTGTTTAAAACTAAACAAATACATGTGGATTTATATATTTTTTTACCTATATATATTTCTTTAACAAATTAATGGAATATATCCAGACGAGAGGCCGTGGTTCGCCATATGGTTAAGCCATCTTATCGACTTTCCTCTTTCTCGGGATAAATATGTAAATCCTTTCCTATATCGGTAACACAGTACAGCACACTATCCAAATTCCAAGAATTTCCCTCCATTTGGCTCAATAAAACAAACACTCCATGTGTCTCACAAACGAGGGGCGTCTGGGACCACGTCAGATGCTTCATATCACGCCATGCTTGTCTCAATAATAATCTAAATTAATCGCGGCCGTCACATGACCAAAATTGCCGTTTTTTGCTGAAAACTCTCGAATGCTACGGTAAAATTTTTTTTCCTCCGGTAAATCGGATTATCGCAACTTCATTATACTGTAGTATTACCGATATTGAGGGACAACAATGTCCAGACGTCTCCCGAAGGAGGGGTGTCTGATCATCTGTAAAATGGGTTTCTCTGAAACAGGACAATGTAACCCGATTTGTATAGTGTGCCGTACTGTAACAGCACCAACCGAGTTTGACAGTTCTTTTTGAAAGACATGTTCAGAGTAACAGAGCCCATTATAATTTTATGATATCAGTAAATGCACAGCCATTACACATTTTGTCATTGGGAAAGCATAAGCATTTTGAAAGCTAATATCATCATGTCTAGCATGTTTATTTACTGAATTATGTTCACAGAAGCAATCCTCATTTCATAGACATAATAGTGATTTGTCTTAAGTATTTTTGACTGATTAATATCTAAGCAATTTTTGTTTTGGTTATGAATGAAACTATTTTCGGACTCATGTTTTATACTAGTCGTCGACAAACTTACCGTATTTTCTCGACTATACGCCTATCACGCGGATAAGCCGACTCCCTAATAACAGCTTCAAAATAGGCCGTTTCCACAAATCCACTTTGCGGCACAACTAAATTACTCCCAACATGAAAGGAATTAAATCAGCGCGGACTTGAAGTACCAAACCTATAACATGAGGACATTTTTGATTGAAAATATTTTACAATCATTATTTTAAATTAAGGTAGTCAGATATCCTGAGCGGACGTGGTAATAAGTTTGGTTATTTTTCGCAAGTCTTCTCATACATGATTTGTGTGAGCTTCATATATGGGCTGATATATTTTATAATGTATGCCAAAGTGTCTGCCGATTATTTAATTGACTTTGTATACCAGCTGTTATTTGTCTTAATCCTAAAAACAAAAATGTGGCCGGTGCAATGAAGCACTCCCTGCCCGATAACGGCACTTCAGAAAGAAAACGGCTACCACGAAATAAAGTGATTGATTTATGAGTGATTATGACACTTCCGTTTTGCTGATTCCTGAAAAAACAGCTGTTGCCTAACCCATGGACGTACAGCACATTATTTATCACACCGTAAATGGTTGTTCAAAATGATTGAAATTACAGTTTTATTGTTAAGAATTATTGCTGGAGTATTATTCTGTGAGATTTTTTGGGAGTTATGCGAGAATAAGACGGTCCCTCATTTGCAGGCCACATTAATTAACATTGAACTAGTTTTGAAGCACTATTATTTCTAGTGCTTACCACTGCAATTTCTATTCCTGTTTCTAACACAACTAACGGTATACATGTTGGGCTTATTACTACAAAACAAATGTCATACAACAGCCATTGTTACGATATCTGTGCGCAGATGATAATAAGTTCATAAGCACTTTTGTTAAAATGCATTAAAAGTGAAGTCGAGGCAAATTTGCCCAGCGCTGTTTTACACATTCAACAAATTTGAATATATTTTGAAAGATTGAATATATACAGTATAAAATAATGTTTGTTTAGGTTTACCAAATTATCGGTATTGTAAAATATAAAACGGTTTCAGTACTTTGTCGTTTCAGAGAGTAATACTAAGTCATAGAAAGTCTTGAAATCATTTAACTACATCACCGTAACCCCCCCCCCCCCCTTGAAAAAATCCTGGCTGCGCCCCTGACCTCAAGTATAGTAGCCTACTTACAGTATAGCGTTTCCCCATTTGGTCGTAATTACGTTACAGTGACCGAGTATAAGCCAGGTACCATATCAAGGCACAGATCTTCGATGGTAATAGTTAGCCATGGATAAATAGGAAAATTGCCCAAAGCAAATTCATGTGTACGCAAATAAATGAGATTGATCTTCGAGTAAAGTCAGAAGCGTCGGGCTTGGGCCACCACTAATGTGCCAATGGCGACTGGGACTAAGAAATTCCAGTGCCCGGGAATTAAAAACAAATCAATTTAAACTGTTGAAACTCACGCTGCATGATTACATGCATTAAATTCGTTAAAGTTATATTTTGGTTGTTTAATTATTATATTATACTACTTAAGTTTTATATTTTCATAAGCTTTAATCTGCTATTTTTACAGTTATATTATAACTACACTACATTGAATCCCTCGTTTCGCCGGCTTTTTTGAAATATGCAGATCTATCATGATAAGCCGAGTAAACGCAAAGCATTTAATTCGAAGAATGAAGATGGAGTGAAAAAAAGGAAAACTGCTACGTACACTGAGAGCAAACGCCATGTTTGCCAAGAATGTGGGAAAGTATTAAGCACACCAAACGCTCTAAATAGACACATGCTCATTCACAAAGGAGACAGGCCATTCGAATGTGAGATATGTAACAAGAAGTTCACTCAAAGTGGTCATTTGACCAGACATATATCAGTGGTACATATGGGAGAGAGAAAATACCCCTGTGATGTCTGTGGAAAACACTTCTCAGAAATGTCTCATGTAAAGAAGCATTACGCCAGAATACACGCGGCAAAAGAAGCAGTCAATAACAAGCCAATGCCATTTACCTGCGAAGTTTGTGGGAAACCCTTTATGTTTGAATTATATTTGAATAATCACAGAGTCGTGCACACCGGGGAAAAACCTTATACATGCGAAGTTTGTGGCAAATGCTTCGGTTATAAATCATCCTTGAACAAACATATGCTAACACACATGGGACAAAATCATGTCAGAAGACCTTTTGCACGTGAAATATGCGGAGCCAAGTATGAGAAGAAACTTAAACTGCAACAGCACAGCGTTGTACACACTGGCGTAAAACCATACTCTTGCGATCTGTGTGGGAAAACTTTTGGGTGGAAAAAAAGCGTAAGAATACACAAGATATCATCGTGCTTTGCCAAACATGCACATTCAGAAACTCACTCGTGAATGTAAAAGCATTTACGTTGTGTAAGTCTTAGAACACTTTCGTTTGCATATTCATCTCACACACCGCTCTTGGTGTTGTTTTTGTTTTATATCAGGTTTTAGGACATACGTTGATACTTTTTTAACCGAAGTGCTCGATTTTTTTCTCCCACTTTTGTATTTATTACTGTTATGCATAAATCACCAGTGTCTCCGCTCAAATAATTATTGTTTTTTTTTGGCCCTCCTCAAATATGAAATAGTATTTTTTACTCTATTTTATATTTTTGTTTGTACAAAATGTCTTTTCATTATGTTATTAAATAAACGACCGATTTGTGTTATCTGCAAAGGACATACATATTTAAAGAAAATAAGTGGAGCAGGAGCAATATGACTTGAGGCTGTCTTGCTATTTTCGTTCCGAACTTCAAACCTTAGGTTGACCTCGATTGTATAATGAGTGAATCAGGGTTCTTTCAAAATTGACCTATTGGTCGTTCCACGGAATCCTGACAAATTGTGGAATATTCATTAAACAATGTGGCGTGGTTGCATATTTAAATAAGTCATGACAATACCGAGATAGCCTACATGGATAATAATGCCCCATTGCCGCTAATATACAATATAACAAGGCTAACTTTTTTGCCAATTAGCTAAATCAACATTTCCCGCTTAGTTACCAATCCTGGTGAACAGTACCAGCTAACCAACTATTGATTTCTAGACGGGATATCTGATTTCTGATATAGGGACAGATTAGTAATTTGGACGAACATTTTTAAATACATAGAAAAAGGCTGATTATTAGTATTGAAGAAATTCTCCGATATCATAAATTAGGTCGATAAAAAACCCATTTCAAATTAGGCAACATATGGCAACGAAAAATAACTGGATCAATAACGTCCAGGTGGTAATTAGTATTCAAAACCCCAACCAATAAGGCTAATGGAATCGATAGCACCATTTCAATCCTCGGAATATAGATCAAATCCTTATATATACTATTCTTTACAATTCTGATTAGGTTAAAATCCTGGGAGAGACATGATTATTGTTGGTTTTCTGTATATAAGGATCGCTATCGCTGTAGTATTATCCAGTCTTGTAAGATGTAGTCTTGTAGTAACCAGTCTTGTAGTACAACCTTGATGTTGTGTATACTGCACAATAAACGGAAGAAGAATTGTCGCAATTGTCGTTTGTCTGCTATCATCTATTGTCTGCTGCGGGCGAGCGCCTACATAACCGAACAACGAGGTGAAGAATAATTCGTGCAAGTTAGAAGACAAGAGCCCGTGCTCCGACTAAAGAGCTACCAAAGATCCCGTACGCCGACTCAAGTTATATTTAGGACACCTATCCTAAACTGAGACCGGGAAGTCCAATTTACATCTTTTATTATTGTTCAGCAGTTCACAAGATACTCATCGCAACATCGCCTGAAGTTTTACAGGGTATTTATCGCTACTTCAAAACTTGCATTATGAATTATCCTAATCCTACCAGTAGAGTTAAATTCTACAGGTCCTATTTCTGCTTGTTTGGTTGTGTTGTCAATCAACTTCAGTAACTAACTTTTGACACAGTAGTAAAACACACATAAGCACATTCAAACCTGCATGAAATGTTGTAATGAAAGTTCATATAAAATATATACAATTAACAATCCAGTTAAGCTAAATGAAATTTCCACATATCAGTAGTTCAATACAGTGGAAAATGCGTGGTAGTGTTTTATGTTTAGTGTCTCCGGCCCAACAACAGTACAATCTAGTTGCAAGACACAAAACAATTAAATATTATGATTAGCTTCACCTACGACATTTATCTAGAACAGTGGTTCCCAACCGGTGGGAAATTTCCCACTAGTGGGAAATTTGGGAGTTGCTGGGGTGGGAAATAGAATGCCCCTCCAAAAATATACGCACAATAACACAATTATTATATATTACACAATGAAACTCACAATATAAGCCATGAGGCGGAAAAAGATCCCTATTCAATTAATTCCCATTCAATTAACTCTATTTTCAAATGTTTCTGAGATATTGGGTAGACATGCGCTCTGATGAACAAATATCTGGCCCGCTCCCTCATTCTGATCAACTTTTAATAAAAGGTAAATATGATTAACGTAAAAAGAAATACGATCTTAGTTATCTCGGCTATGTCTCATGTTTGTAAAGAAAAATTTGGAGCAACTTCTGCAATGCGTTGTTTGCCCCAAGACCATCTCCAATGGTCCTATGGAGCCCCATCAAATGAAGCAACATATTTCAAATATCCATTTGCTTATCAGTTTGCTAAAAAATCGTAAAATGACTGCGTCTTATGCAGTCGGCCGGCGAATAGCAAGGACTAAAAAGACCCACACATTGGTGAGACATTGATGTAATTAAGTTTGGCGGAGTGTGCTGATATTCTGCGGCGTCGAAGACGAACAGGCCTCTTTGTCCAATCAATGGCATTTAATGTCATGGTCCAATACCAATGCGCTTTTTCAAAAATAGATTCAAACATCCAGTTCATCATATCGAAAAAAAAATTTAAATTAATGGTACAATGTAAACTCTGATGTGTTCTTTGAAATCGTATACGTTGAATTGCTCTATTCGATGAAGAACACTAGTTTTCTTTACACGGATCGTCACTATCTTGAGATGCTAGATGGCGCAATGAATGTTCTTGCAAGGTTTTAACTTCTGCACCAATTGCAAAGCCTTTATTACAGAAAGTCTTACCCTTTTTACAAAAAAAAATATTATTGTCAAGTGAGTCACTATGTAGTGGAAAATAATGACTCAGCCTAAATCGTAAGTGGGAAATTAAGATAAAAAGGTTGGGAACCCCTGACCTAGGACGTCAATTATCACATGATCCTAAACTGCAAAACTTACCTAGAATACCCAAGCAACCATCAAAACTCATCGGAATTACTAGTCAATCAATACGCTTACAAGCTGGTCCAGTCTACGTGTTCGAAAACATTATTTTTATCGAAATTATTCACCCACGTACCCATATAGTCTTGATAGATAATTTTACCCTAGTCTATTGCAGCGTTTTCGAGACCAAATTTTGAATATTGCAACTGAACTTAAGCTTTTCCAAAGGCATATTGACTGTTTAGTTCAGTGGTTCTCAAACTTTTCTTGCTCTCGGGGCACTAAGCAAATAAAAAAAAATTGCGGCACATTTGTAAAAAGAAATATAGTTGCATTGAACAAATTAATTCTGCAAATGTTAACGCGATATGTGTACCTGTTTAGAGAAACAATTGAAACGAGGTTCCGTCGCTCCCTTTTTTGCTTTTAATTTCAGTCATAGCAGAAAATCCGTGTTCACAGAGCCATGAATATACAAATGGTTAGATTATTTTGATGGATTTTCCACCGATAAATGAGTTGAATTTGTAAGCAGATAGCCAAAACTCGTCCGAATTCGCTTTTCTGTTAACCTAAATAAGCGCGAAAGTCAACATGATGGAGGTGGACGCCTCGTTTATAAATACATTATAACAATACAATTATAACGTGACAATCACACTTACGACAACGCAATAATATTTATAATGAATAGCGCGCACTCAAGTCTCGCAAGCTCGCCCGTTGCATGCGTGCCTATGTATATTACGAAAAGCTTGTTTTCTAAAATTCCTTAGAGCTCTGCGGTACACCTGAGCATCTCACGCGGCACGCAGTTTGAGAAACACTGATTTAGCTATTTATTTGATTTACAATTTTTTTTCCGAAATGCAACCGAATCTGACAAATATCATGCAAAACCACAAAATCGAGGCAAGGTTTGCAACCATTCTTGATTATATGATGGGTCTGATGGGCTTCATAAATTGCAGTCGTTTCGTCATTGTTAACTCTTTCCTGATTAGTTATGGTTATGGAAATAAACGCCCTGGGAAACATCCCACAGACACCCGATTCAATAGAGCAGTGATTTTCAACCTTTTTTGTATCGCGGAACACTTTTTTTAATCTAAAGTTGTGGCGGAACACCAAACGAGATTTTTAGAAATAAACTATATTATGCAATTAACTGACATCGATCATTTTGGCATGAAAATAAAATAACAAAACTAATAATATAGCTTGTCAACTTTAGCTGGAAAAGACGTGATACATTCCGATTCAGAGCTACAAGAGCTAAAGTACGGTACTAATAAATGTTTTTGCGAGTTTGCTTATGAATATATACTATGGTTAGCTAGCAGAAATGGTATTCTAATGTGATATTTTGGTCTGATGAGGTCTTTGATGAGTTTCAAATATTTTATTCTGTAATCGAGGAGAGACAAACACGCAGCTCTTTCTCAACGGCTCTCAATTTCTTGCGTTTTTTTATACGCAGCAGGAGTCCAGAAGGTCGGAGGTCGATTTGGAAATTAATAGAAACATTGAAAATTGGCAACAAAGCAATTTTTACTTTAATTTTGTCATAATCGCTACTTTTTTTGCCCCCTGAACGTTTTCATATTACCGCCTTTGTTCTTATGCGCAAGATTAATTCTTGCCGATCGGCGGAGATCTGAGTTTCATATTTTGTTATAACTATATGCGTTCACATCGGCGACAGATGTTAATGACATGAGGAAGCGATTTTAAATTCCAACTTAATTTTATTCTGATTTTCATCGTTTACCCCGGCTTTGATCTAACTTATCGCCGTTTGCAAATTAAACGTCCCAGTTTTAAGCGAATAATATTATCATTATCGAGCACACATTTATTAAGACGATAATTGAGCGTCTTATGCTCCACACTGGTGTCAGTGTTATTTCCGAAATAAATCAATTAGATAAATCTGTGATTGCGTGAATCCTGAATGTTGATTTAAAAGCTTAAATCTACGTGGTCATTAGGCAAGATGACGATAAAGATCACTTCTTGAACGATGTTTTACATACGCGACCTGATGCCAAAAAATTGTAAACAATTTTGTGCCCAATTGCTTTTTTGCCTAATAGAGGGAAGACGCTGATTAGAATTACCGTAAATGCTCGTTTTAACGCCCGTTCTTGATTAAGGGCCCGTTTGAATAGCCGCCCGTGTGAACAGGACATGAAAATAAATAAGGGCCGGTGCTTGAATACCCGCCCGGTGTAAAAGTTTTTTTTTTTTTGGCGGATTTGTACCTGCGGTGCGAAGAAAAAGTCAAAATTTTCATTATTCTCGTTTAAATCATACTTGAGAACTGGAAATGACAATATACGGTATTAATTATTGTAGCGATCGATCTTATCTACCGGTATTTTTGTGTGTAATTTTACTTTAAAATTAACAAGCGTCCCTGCTTGAATAAGAGCCGGTTTGAATAAGGGCCCGGTTAGTGAGTATGTTTAAAAATAATAAGCGCCCGGGCTATTAAACGAGCAAATACGGTAATCACCTCAAGTTTTAACGTTATCTTTTCTAACAAAACATTACCGCGACTATAATCATCGCTAAAATTGTTACCTACAAATTCACAATTTTATTTACGGAATTTGCGAATTCAACACTTCACGTGACGATTTTGATGATGCCACGCTCTAATGTTTACTACAAGAAAAGCTTCAAAATGCAACGAATGTAATCAACTCCGATGATGACTCCATTTAGGCCGTGGCCATTTATCTTTCAGTTTCGTAGCGCACATAAGGTAGCTACCTGAAAATGATTTTAAAATGTTCCTTGGAAATTTAGTAACAAATATTGCCTTGTTCCCACTTCCAAAAGTTGCACGTTTTACAAAAAAGACTCTTTTATTACAATAAATATGTGTTACCATCTGTCCTATTTTCTCTGCCTTTTCTGATTTTCTCTGCTTTTCCGGTATTGCAAACAGATGGGCTATTCATATTGAAGTACTTTAGCATGTTGGAGACTTCATTGAGGTTTTCAATTCATTTTTTTCTCAACTATGAAGATCTTTTGAGGTTAACGAGGCATTATTAAATAAAGCTGAGGAATTTGTTTGATCACTGTATGAAGAGGTTTATGAAGAATGTAAATGATACCAGGGCACTTCTATTTAACACTGGTAAACATAAGGATTATACTCTCCCACCCAACAATGATTCACTGAAGGAGCATGTGGCCCTCAAATCAGTTCTTGAGTTGGCAAACTGCAAATGTAAGAAAAATAGTCAAAATAATTTATGCAAGCGTGCCAAAATCAACTTAAGTTGCACCGATTTTTGTTTTTGTATTGACTGCAAAAATCACAGTACATTTATAGAGAAAAATTCGATTTTTGAGATAGTGGATTTTGAAAACAATTTAGAAGAAAGTGAATTAGATATTGCAGTTGATTTAATAAGTATCATTTATTTGTTTGTTTTTTCGGACATCTGTTAGTGTCGTAGTCCTGTTTCTAGAAATAGTATTGCCTTTGTTCAAATACATAGCCACATAAACTAATAAAAGACTAATTGTAATATTTCTGTTCACTATGTTATGTACATCCATTTAATTTTCTTGACTTTTTCGGTAAATTTCCAAGTGAGAAATAACTGATTTATTTGTGTTTTCGTGCTCACGATGTTAATTTGTGACTTCATTGCTTAAAAATAAATACGTTTGATAGCTTCTATAAAATGGATGTAGCTTTTTATGCTGTTCTTGTTGTAAACTGCTTGTGGTTATTACATAAAATTTATTCGCTAATGTGAATCAGCGTTGTAGGTGTCGCTGCTTTCGAAGTCACTCGCGACTCCTGTCACACAATTAAAGTATTTTTTGTTGTTGGTTACATGTATGCCATATTTTTCGTAATCCACCTAACAAATTATGATTGACTGAGGAGGTCCGATTTTGGTCAGGCAAAACATTACAGGAATACATTTGTGTTAGTGTGCTGTAAGGCTCTCGAATTGCATAGTTCTTATGTATGTGTTGTAAACTTATGATTATTGAATTTCCGGGAACCTCTTATATCTCTCTCGCATCAGGATTGTAGAACAAGCTGTAATGCGTTCAGTATGTTCATTTTCACACAAAACTGAAAAATTTATTTAGTTATCAGATGTGCGTTACGAAACTCATTTTCTGGGCGTTTTCAAGGCTTCGTCTTACGGCCCATATCCGTGGTAAGGATCTACAAGTGTTTAATAACTTACTTATACATTTTTCAACAACGTCTTAGCATTACTTAACTAATAATAACTAAACAAGGCTATGGAAAGGCTGCCCAACTCAACGCAAGGTCGAGCAATAATAACTAATATTCATCCGCTCGCTAACAGCTGATTCAATTGTTACGTCATGCAGAAGTCATTGTTCATTGCCGAAAATGAAGAGAATATTGGACAGATCATAGCACATATTTCTTGTAGTAAAAGCGTCTTTTCCGTAAAACGTGCAACTTTTGGAAGTGGGAACAAGGCAATATTTGTTACTAAATTTTTAAGAGAACATTTTAAAATCATTTTCTGGTAGTTACCTGATGTGCGCTACGAAACTCACTTTCTAGGCGTTTTTCAGGGCCTCGGCTCGCGGCCTAATTTATAGTCGAGTATAAGGTTCACATTTTTGAAATATTATTTGGTCAAGAATGGAGTGGATCACAAAAAATATACGCCGAGATAAAGTCCATTAAAAGGACATATGGCCTGTCATTTCTTATCCGGTTACAAGTATTTTATACCGACTTCTCAAAACTCTGACTCGCCATTTTCAAATCGACGCTATTTATATTATTCGAATTACGTCATAATACTTCAAAAAAGCATTTTTTCGCGTAACACCTGGAGGTCTCCGCGGAACACCGGTTGAAAATCACTGCATTAGACTAGAGGAGGTAAAGAGCCGAATCTCATCGCGATAGCAGTTTCACAAGTAAAGGTGGGCCCACATCCGCAATCCAGCGTATGCCTAGCGAGATTTCTGAACAGGTCGATCGCCATGTCTCGAATAGTCGATCGCGTCTGATGTTGAGTGCATTTAATAACATAACCCAAAAAATTAACGCGAACCAGTTCCATGCAGCGCCGGTTGTGGGCAAGCCTGATGATGCTTATTCGGCCTTAGATGTGAAATATATGATTCGAATAAATCTTAACTTAATAATGAAAATTTACTTCGGGTTGAATTATATCATCAAATTAACAAATTCAGTACCTACGGTACCGTATTCGTGTACCAATACCGTACCTGTATGACCTTATTACAGTATTACAGATCAGTCAATCGCGAGCTATTTTGACGATTTTAGTCCATCGCAGTCCAGCAGTGTTAGTTAGGTTGGCCACCTCTGCACAGCAATGTCTGAATGTAGACATTTGCAATTTGTTTCATCTTTCTAGTTTAGTTATAGATATTCTCCATATTTATACAGTTATATGGACGTGAACCGCAGTCAAGTTCTCACACAGTAAGAATAATATAACAGCATAACATAAGCCCCTAAATCCTACGGTACATGCTGCCAAAAAATATCAGACAATGACACGAATGAGGCCTAGTTTTGTTGGCTAGTTTGAGATTGCACTTGTATATTTTGTATTGAAAGCTGTAGTCTTAAGTATACTGAGTATAAAAGATTGACAGTTTTATTGTTTTAAAATTCCTAATATAGAAAAAATAGTGCCACAATCATGCAGTCACACCACTGCACCTGAACCATGGCAGCTAAGATTGGAAATTGGCAGTGAACTGCAGAATTGTGAAACATTAAAAAGTCCATGAATAGGAAATGCTTGGATGTGTTGTAAACGGAGTACCGTAGACTGTGAGATGAGCCTGCGACAGTGCGAACCAAACAACAAGATATAAATTACGGTAGTCGAAACACAAGTAAAACTGTTTGTAGTTGCGTAGGTTTTTCCAACCTGTTGTTTCATACAGTCATAACAGACTTTTCAGATGACCAGGTTGAATATGACAGTTTGAGTTAAGAGTTTTCCAGTTCTTTGGAAGTTGTTTAAAACTAAATAAATACATGTGGATTTATATATTTTTCTACCTATATATATTTCTCTAACAAAGTAACAGAATATATCCGGACGAGAGGCCGTGGTTCGCCATATGGTTAAGCCATCTTATCGACTTTCCTCTTTCTCGGGATAAATATGTAAATCCTTTGCTATATCGGTAACAGCACCAACCGAGTTTGACAGTTCTTTTTGAAAGACATGTTCAGAGTAACACAGCCTATTATAATTTTATGATATCAGTAAATGCACAGCCATTACACATTTTGTCAATGGGAAAGCATAAGCATCTTCAAAGCTAATATCATCATGTCTAGCATGTTTATTTACTGAATTATGGTTACATAAGCAATTTTCATTTCATAGGCATAATAGTGATTTGTCTTAAGTATTTTTGACTGATCAATATCTGAGCAATTTTTGTTTCGGTTATGAATAAAACTATTTTCGGACTCATGTTTTATACTAGTCGTCGGCAAACTTGATGTACTACTGGGCCAAATATGCACGTTGACGAATGCGTGCAGGCCACATTAATTTCATAACATTGAACTTTACGTTATGAAGCACTATTATTTCTAGTGCTTACCACTGCTATTTCTATTCCTGTTTCTAACACAACTAACAGTATATATGTCGGGCTAATTACTACAAAACAAATGCCATACAACAGCCATTGTTACGATATCTGTGTGCAGATGATAATAAATTCATGATCACTTTCGTTTTATGCATTAAAAGTGCAGTTGAGTCAAATTTGCCCAGCGCTGTTTTACACATTCAACAAATCTGAATCTATTTTAAAAGATTGGAAATATACAGTTTAAAATAATGTTTGTTTAGGTTTATCAAATTACCGGTATTGTAAAATATAAAATGGTTTCAGTATTTTGTCGTTTCAGAGAGTAATACTAAGTCATAGAAAGTCTTGAAATCACTTAACTACATTATGGATTGGGGCGTTGAACTCTGGGTAAGTACAGACGTGAGACTTTGTTTAATGTTGAATGCAGTCTTGTGTTGGGTTGAAGTCCCGAATTCCAAACTTCTTCATTTTAAACAAACCAAACTTCATTTTAAACAAGGCTTTTCTAAGCCACTGATGTGTATGGTACTAATTTTCAAGAACACTGGACTATTAGTAGTTAGCATTGCCCGTCCAAGTCGTGACTACACTTGGGTGAGGCGGTGGGCTTGTTTGAAATTTGTAATAGTCAAGTTAGACCACAGCTAGCGGGTGTTATGCTGGGATTTTTCAAAAGCAGTCCTGCATCAAAACAACTCTAAAAACAAATCTACAATTTCCCAGGATCAATTTGAAAATGTGGACAAACATTTGCACCATGGAATAGAATATACGGATAAATACATGAAATTTGTGCAAGAAAGAAGCTCCGTGGAACAGGATTACGCAAAACAACTTCGAAGACTTGCAAAAAAATATTCGCCTAAAAAAAAAGACGACGATGCATCAATGTAAGTGAATCATTTTTTGAAGGTCTGCGTATCTTCTCAGACCAAACTCTATATAAGAAACTACTACTAGAGGTTTACGTATTTTCTCAGAATAGGGATTTGTGTGAGAAGCTTCTTTGGAGGTTCACGTATTTTCTCTGGACAAGGCTAAAATACTTCGGGAGTACCCAAGGCTTTTTGTAGGAAGCTACTTTCAGAGGTCAATGTATTCTCTCAGACCAAGGCTATGTGTAAGACCTCATCTTTAGAGGTTTACATATCCTTTCGGAACAAGGCTGTGTGTAATAGGCTACTTGGATATGCCAATAGTTGTTATAAAAAATTTGCTCCATACAAGGTTCTGTACAGGCAGCCACTGATTGATAAGGAGTTACTATAGTTCAGTACAGCACACTATCCAAATTCCAAGTATTTTCCTTCATTTTGTTTAATAAAACAAACACTCGATGTGTCTCACAAACGAGGGGCGTCTGGGACCACGTCAGATGCCTCATATCGCGCCATGCTTGTCTCAATAATAATCTAAATTAATCGCAGCCGTCATATGACCAAAATTGCTGTTTTTTGCTAAAAACTTTCGAATACTACGATAAAATAAATTTTCCTTCAAAAAAAAATTTTCCTTCAGTAAATATGATTATTTTTTCCCAAGGAATTCAATGATGACGTTACTAGATTGCGCTTTTTTGTAGTATTTTGCGCAACTTCATTACACTGTATTATTATCGTTATTGAGGGACAACAATCTCCAGACGTCTCCCAAAGGAGGGGTGTCTGATCATCTGTAAAATGGGTTTCTCTGAAACGAGACAATGCCGCCCGATTTCTATAGTGTGTCGTTCTGTAGTTAGGATGGATTGTAATCTTCCCATTTTCCATCCACTCTTCTTTTTCTATGGTGGTATTTGAATCCCCAACAATCCGGGCAGCATAATCAGCAGAATATCAATATCAGATTTCCATGTTCAAGTCATCAAATTTGTATTTTCCTAGATTTTCAACAAATAAAGCTTTTGCAAGTCAGCTTGCAGAATTGAATGATATAGCAGGACAACATGAGATTGTTGCCGAAAGTCTTTTGAAGTCAATCGTTAAGAATTTACACGCATTCATCAATGAACTCAGACTCGAGAAAAAGAAGGTATTTCATTGTTCAATTATTACAGTGAGAATTCTATTCACTTGCTATGTCTTATACACACAGATTGTAAGTACAGGGTGTCCATAAAGTCTATTTACAATTTCAATTTTGTTATCGAATCAGTTCTCAATATATCTTAACCAGGTTTGTTGTTTTTTAGTCAGTAATTGTTCAAGTTTTAATTTATTTTATTTAATTAATACATCTGTGAGGGCCAAAACAATATATAGGATTGAAAAATTCTTTTTGGAATTTAAAAAATTCAGGACTTTATGGACATCCTATATATATTCCATCTAATATTTTTAAATTGAGTTGACCATGCAGATTCAAAAAGATTCGGTTTATTTTTTTCCGAACTAAAATATTTTGCGTATGTGCTTGTTCTGGTCATATGAATGAATTGGTTTCATGGTTGAAAGTTTAGACAGTAAGTGTAGGTTATTACATTATATCCTCAAATATAAGCCGACCCCCATAAGAACGGCCCTAAAACGATGAATTTATGAAAATTTGCATATAGGCCAACCCTACAAATCGTAACACTTATTATTAACACGACACATACTTTTTGACACAACTAATTTTTGTTATAAATTATTTTTAAACTCTGCTTATTTGTGAGGATATAATATCGTAGGTGAATAAATCAAGTTATGAAGATTTGGGAAGATTTTGTAGGATTATGTTTATTATGGTCATCCTGTATGAAACACTGGCATGGCATGTCAAAGCTATTTGGTTCAAATCTCATGCCCAAAATCTCACCAGTTTTGTATAAATTTATTAATAGGCTTAAGTTAGACGGGAAAAAATTGATTCTTTTCAAAATACATAGTAATACCACAGTACAGTGATTATATGTCTACATCGTTACTCAAAGCGAGGATGTGAAAATATATGTTAGTTGAAATAATGTACTTGGTAAATGTAAGCATGAAGCAATTTATGAAGCTCATTCATAAATTTTTTGTTAAACAAAGCTTATTGAGTAGACTCATCAAAGGAATTTTGTGATCAATACTCTATTGCTTAATTATTGATAAATTTTTGATTGAAGTATTTTTATCATGAATTGCTAATCAATATCGGTATGGGGGAAATACCAGTCATAGCTTGATGAGGGAAAAGGATTTTTGATTGAAGAGGTATATTGCTTTTATTAATTAAGTAAATTGAGATGGATTTTTCTCATGTAAATGTTTAAATTGGGACCATAAATCTTCCATAACTCTTAGTCTCTCTGACTACTCCTAAATCGGTGCTATTTGAGCGAGAGATCTACCTCCATATGTAGCCTACACCTGCTGTCTGACGAGAGGTAGTCTTCACGCTAAAGAAGTGCCCTTAAGTTTGTCACACACTGGACCTTTTTGATGCTTGAATAACGAATAGCTAAGGAATTTCATATGGACCAAAATCTTTTCGATTCGCCATTATCTACCTAACTTTACATCTTGTGGTCACAGGATTTGAAAACCAATAAATTTAACAGGGGTCACTAACATAGTTGGACCGGTACTCCAGTAGTGTGTGTACCAGGCCATAGTTTTATTCCGATTTTCCTTAGTTTAGTTCCACAAGCCCACAGGCTTCCGTACCTTTACACAACTTGATGTAAAGGAGGCGAACAAAATTAGTTGCCTCCATGTTACTTCATTACTTACACATACTTCTGGAGCATCGTTACACCAGCATACCAACCTATGCGCAATCTTTATAAAAGAGTGTTTAATACTGTATCGTTAACAGGAGTTAACAAGAGTGTTTGACATTCAATTTTACTCAGCAATTCTCTAGGGAAAGTCATGACTCAACATGTCTTGACGTAGTTCTAGTTTCATTCTATTTTATTACACAATGCTTATAGGAAAGAAATGCTATATTGCATAATGTAGAAAATGGTTGTGGAGAATACTCCGAGTATGTGTATTTGAATTTTGGTACTGTCTGCAATTTATATGAATATTCATGGGTAGTTTACACACTTAATTTTCTATTTATCTATCAGATTAATTGTTTCAGGATTCGTATGGAACTTGATAGAAATAAGGCCATGAACACATTTTTTGATAAACCTGAATTAAAATCTTGGCACAAGACACATCAATGCGATAAATTTCATTCGGCGCAATGGTTTACTAAATCACGACTTCACTGCAAAAATGGTAAATTTCTAAAAAAAAATCGCTTTGCCTATAATTTTAATTTTCTTTGAAGTAGTTCCACAATATGAATAGGTATATTGGTAAAAGTCAATATCATTTTAGTATAAGATCATTCTCTATTCGAAACTCAGCAAACCTAGGTTGGAAATAATATAGTATGGTATATTAATATTGCAACATTCTAATACATCGAAAAACAAAACAATATTGTTTACTTGCTGACTCATCTCTATCAGTAGTAGTTGCGACTTCCCACTTTCCGATATGAAAAATGATTTTTATTTTACCAATCAAGTGTGGCCTGGTGTTGTGGCAGGAAGTATGATCATACAATGAGGCTTCAGTGTGAATAATAATATCAGTCTCGCTCTACGTAACGTCTAAGTCGCGTTTACGTACGCTGAATAAAAATTATCAGCGTCATTTATATTCTGACACCTGGTTACGTATTTAGTTTCCTCTTCATGAAATAAGGATCTTTATGTTAGAACGGCTCGAAACAACATGACACCTAGGGGTAGATTTTCCAGTATGAAAATTGAATTCTTGCAAAAATCATCACTCATGATATTCTAGTTCGTTACATGTATAAGAAAATACATTTGGTACAAAAACATTTTATTAATGTCTCAGTCTATGTAGCATCCAAGTTCGTTTACGTACGCTGAATAATAATTATCGCCATGTATCTTCTGGAACCGGATGCCGTATTTAGTTTCCTCTTCATGAAATAGGACCTTTATGTTGGAATGGCCCGAAAACAATGGCACATAGTGGTAGGGTGTTCATTGAAAATTATTCTCTGGCGACATGTTAGTTCTTAAAATATCAAATCTTGTAAATTATTTAATATTTTTTGTGCGGGTGTGTGATGCAGGTAATAAACCTGATCGCATATCTATGTAGTTTCTTCTCCATGAAATAAGATATGTTTTGGATTGGCCTCAAATAATAGGCTATATATGTTAGATTGCCCTTGTTGCCAGATAAAAAGATAGAAATATGTTTAAATCTGGCAGCCACGATACGTTTCTTTTAGAACATTGAATGGTGTTCTTGGCAATGTCAGGACCAAAACTTGCTTTTTTTTCAACCAGTGGACCAATTGTTTCAAGATATAATATGAGACATTGTTGAAATAGAGTTTTGAACAAATTTTGCATCAAAATCATTGCATCAAGAGTCCATAACATAAATTTATTCAGTTCAGTATGACTTAATAAATCACCTTTTTACCACAAAAAAGTGAGGAATGAGGAAAAACGAGAAAAAACAATAATTTTAAATTTTGCTGAACTAAATTTTTGAAGAATTCATAGAGCAACTGATAGATGACAACAGTACTGTTGAATTTTACTAGGGAATCCACTTTCTCTAATATTTCCTTGTGTATTATATTTCTTGTTTTCATGCAGCTTGCAGGCTGACACACTTTGCGTTAGGAACGATTTGCATTCCTCAATCAAACCCTAACTGAGTATTCATATATTAATAGGCGGGATAACTGAAAAAGGTCTGTAAATTTAATCAGTTCAATGGGACCTAATAAATTATCTTTTCACTGCAAAAAATGGTGATTTTCACAAGAAAATACAATAATTTAAAATATACAAATTTTCTAAAAGATCATTGTTTTCTATTAGTAAATTAAAATACATTGACAATCATGTACTGGACTGAAAGATATGTTCGATAATGATGGTTTTCTATTTCAAACTTTCGAAAAAGATTTTAAAAAAGTGAGAGCTGTCATTCATAATTTTCGTTGTGCAACCGAATCTACTTCCTTTATTATTTCCTTATGTTATTGTATTGTTTATATTTGTAGTTTTCATTCAGCTTGTTGGCCGACTCACTTTCTATTCAATTTTAGTAAACTGGTCAACTGAATTGTCAAGTTTTATAAATAGGGCAGTAATACTTCAGATTGCGTTTTTTGATTAATTTATGTTCACTAATAATTGTTAATAATTTTGTTGTCTGTGGTGATTTCTGTATTTCTAAAGCCTTCTAATAAAAGGATTCAATAGCGTTGCTATTACCGAAAATATCTTTCTGTGCAGAAGTCAAGAATATTTGTTTTCTTTTTGTTATACATATCCACAGATTCAGATCTTGTTTACTCGTACCCGTGGTAATCCAATGATAGCATATATTACTACTCAATTGTCTGAAACATTTTCCTTTTGAATATTTTTTAAAATAATTTGCTTGTCATCTTTCGATTGAAATAATCAAATCACTGATTTTTTTCGCAATATGCAAGCAATCGTTTATTAAAATCATAAAATGATATAAAAATCCCACAGCTTGTGAATTGTGAGCTATTGTTGTAATCTAAATTTGACTGGTACCTGGACGAGAGGTTTGTTATATTATTAGGCAAGCTCATCACTTTCTTGTACCTTATTTAACAAATATAAGAAATCATATCTAGAAATGTTAGATCTATATTGGCTTGTAATACAGTTACATCTTACATTATCATGTAATCTCTGATATTAAAATAAATATAAGCGAGATAAGATAATGTATTTCCCGAACAAACTGACTTTGTATTGATAGCATTCTGGTGATTTGGGCATGGTTTTAACCATTATCTGTTTATAGTATTGTTTATTACTTATGTTGTCTTGATCAATCGCAGCATGATTCTAATATTATATTACAGCGGCAATTATATTTATAGAGGGCATAATTATAGTCTGGAACAACTAAATTATGACATACAGGGTGCGAAATGAAGCATTGTTTTTGTAAAATTTGAAAAAAAAAAAAAATTTGAATCAGTCTTCCCAATTTTATATATACTCTAGGCGGGCATGACGGTTG